TCCGAACGTGTTCCAGTCTCTCCTCTTCTGGTTCTCGTAACGGCTTGAGTTCGCAGATGGAGAGGAGGAGGGAGAGGAAGACGGTGGTTGCGTTGTTTCAGTTGAGGTGGCTCCGGTGACGGAGGAGTTGGAGGAGATGTTTGCGATGATGCTGAGGTTTGTGGCACCTGCGTAAGCTGAGGAGCCTTCCATAAATTGAGGAATCATATCCATTGTTAACGGATCGATCGATGTTAATTAGGTTCTTGCACGGATTTTTCTTGATTCTTGATCTTCCTTTGGTGGATATGGAGGAGCTGAAAATTTTGTTTGTGCGGTTGGGAGATATAAGGGTACTTTGTGAAGGTATATCATGTGTATTAAATTAAACCTTTTTTTTAGAATTCTCCATTATTAAATTATTTATAAGAAAATTTATAAACTTTTTCGGGTTTTTTTCCCCTTGTTTTGTTCTTTATATTAGTTGAGATAAGTGGACTATAGTTTTCAGATCTTTACACTTTTGTATCTATTGTTTGTTTTGTCTCTATTTCATATACCGGGTTTGGTGTTTTTAATGTAATATTTTGAAATAATGTCGGAGGAACTATAAATAGCCTTTTTGGGACAATACTAAACGAACGTTCAGGTTTCCATGTAACTGTTAAACGTGATTTGTTAATAATAAACAGATAAACACTTTTATGTACATAGTTTGTTTTTCTGATTTTGTATCAAACTTTGGTCTGTTTCCTTCCTTTAAGTTTAAGTTACAATTAATGTGACAAAAAAACAAAAAACAGTTATCCTGTTTAAATTATGTTTGGTCTTTTAACGTTTTGGGTTATAATAAGTTCTTTCAAATGTTCAGGGTTCCATAAAGTTATTTTTGATAGAAAATTCTATGACTTCTATAAAAAAAAATCTTGACGAGAAGAAGCGGGTTCTGCATGATTTACATTTGTATGTTCTTGTAGAGTTGTTATCGTTTCTTCCACTATTAAAATAACTATTTTAAATGTTAGCAAAAACTTGAAGTTGTATCTTATCTTGTATACAGTTCGACATAAGAACTCAGCAAATTAGAGCTGAAGAAAGGGTCTTTGGAGTATGGGAATAGTATAATTATTTTACGTCCGTATAACTTATCTTAAATACTCGTATCACTTAGTAGTAGAGAAGAGAATGATTGTAGACTTTGGAAGAAATGTTATAATGTGTGGTTTATATACTTGGCTTCATTATTGATAAAGACTTGTGAGCTTGGATGTTTCGTTACCCTTCTTCTCTTTTATTATTTGTTTGTTCTCATTGAAATAAGTTTCTGTCGCTAGAAAAAGGCAGGAAAGGAGTTGGGCATTTAGATTTTTAGGTGTGGACAAAGGCAGCCAAAAGTTTGAAAAAGATAGATAAATATTTTAAAAATATAATATGAATATTTTATAGTATATTTCTATCTCTACTGTACAACTGATTGACAGTTCCTTGTTATTTTACCAAAACAGCCCTCAATTCTTCTCCCTTGGACACATATGAAAAGGGATTTTCTTCGGACCATTGTGCAAATGATATGTTTATCTATAATTTTTTTTTTTTATCAGAAAATAAACAAAATTATTAAAAGCGTGTTGCCTGAAAATGGTATATACAATAGACCCAAGAAGAAAGTTAGACCACAGAGGCTGCTCTCCTTTTTCATTAACTTCACCTTTTTTTTTTCCAAGAAAATCTTTAGAATTCTTCTATTATTGTGTCGTGCTAATTTCAATATTCGTGTCTAGCTTTTGCAGATATATATTCAGTTTTCTATCTACCTCTTTCTGACATCATTAACAAACATAACTAGAACTCTCGACCAACAAATAGCTCAGTGTATAGTGTATATATATATATATTTATACACCCTAATTCTTTTTCTTTTTAATACACCCTAATTCGATCCAAAGTTCAAAATATAGTTAGGCGATAACCGGAAACTTTTTCTTTAGGTACTAATTATCAACTCTTTAGGTAAGTAAAGTTTTAATTATTAAAAAGATGAGTCGATGGAAATAGCTTAGTCGTCGTTGTGTTTTTAATTTCCATGCAATGTCATGGAATTGATTCCTACATTTTTTTAAACCAATAATTTTTCCTGATTTAGAGACATAGTCTCTCGCCAAATCAGAAATTGTAACGTACTCCCTCTGTTTCAAAATAAATGTTATTTTGATATTTTTCACACAAATTAAGAAAAACATTAAAAGTTTTGTTTTACCATTTATTAATACACAAAATAACATTCTCTTTCTAATTAATACATTAATATAACAGGTTAAAACATGATTTTTGTTTAAAAATTGCATTGAAAATATAAAACGACACTTTTTATGAAACAAAAATAAAACTCTAAAACGACACTTATTTTAAGACGGAGGGAATATTATATTGCAATTTTCTTTCTGTTGATGTTGTTCGAATTAGGAATTTTTAATTAAAAACTTTTTTTTAGTGGTCGGCTATTACGCCAGCTGAGTTACCGACACCGTGATAATTAATAAATTTCACTTAATAAATGTTCAAATGTTAAAAACTCAAACACACTGATTCAATAAATTACAACTAGATTGGATTAATAATCAAAGTTATGGTTGTATTTGACAATAATACCGCATAACACAATAGAAATGTAAATGAATTTACCATAGCAAGAAACTCGGATTTTCAGTCTCGTTAAAAGATATTTGCTCAGAATTGAACCATCTTCGAGTTGCTCCACAAATCTCTTTACAAAACGACAGAATATTCTGGCTGGATCATACTAACCTACAAAATCAATCCTCGTTTACATAACCTTTATATATTTATATAATCTCCATTATATAAAGTTAAAAAGTCTTATTAAAGGACTAATTTTCCTCAACAAATTTATCATTAAACACGACAAATATTGCAATTAGCTAGGTACTAGCAGTGGCTCGAACTTCGTAGCAGTACTCCTTTTGTATATATCAACGAATATTTTAAGTAACCATTGTCCTCTCAAGTCTCAACATTTGCCTTACGAGTTATGGAACTATTATAAAACTAAGTACCATCACCTAGAAACTGTATATAGATCAATACGTTTGAGGACGTCAATGTTTTGCGTGCACATGCACAATTTTCATGTGTTAAGAGCGTACGAAATATTTTTATATATATGTAAGTTATAGCCATCTCGTTAATAACAGAAAAGTCCAGCCATTAACGACGATTCTGTCATTCTGTTCGTTGCTTTTTCCCAAAAGTTGATCCGGAAATTTTGAGGGTATCTAAAATCTCAGATTCGAACATGAATAATGGTTGATGAATATTATAAGTACAAGAATTAAATTTCTTTCACAATAATTTTACTACCGTATATGTTCGTTTCTAATTAAAATGTTTCTATAGACGTTTTTGTAATAAAAAAAGTTGTCTCCATATTTTTAGAGATTTCGTCTTTGCATATCCATTTTCATTTCAATACAACTTATAATTTCAGTAACGCAATTTATGTTTGTTAGTCATGTTGAACTTACAAATTACATGCATTTTCAGATTGCTAAATGGCATATATATACATTTTATGATCCAGTGATGAGAATCCAAAAAAAGTTATGTTTTATTATTATTTATTTTTTTTGTTCAAAGTTATGCTTTATTATTTATGTTTTCTATTGCCAATAATAATAATTAGATGAAAAAAACTAAAGATAAAAAGTAATCATACTATCGTAAGTACTAATTGAGAAGATATGCATTATTGTTAAAGCATTGGAGAGACTTCATCAGAAGATAAAAGATCATGTGCAATGCTAAAAAATCTTAGAAGGTATTTTAAAAGAAAAAATATTAATTTTTAAATCATAAGAAAAATCTAAACAAATGGAAGATATCATTAAGAATTGTTTTTTAAATAAGAAAATTAAGAGCTGTTCCTTCTTTTTCTTTCTTACTTTTTATTAGTTTATTTATTTATTATACTAAGATACCACACTTAAAAATTTGCATCGAACATGCTCTGATGTCTAATAGTTTATTGCACACATATTCTAACATTTTAGGTTATCGGGGGAACCTCGAGGTGTATACAGATTATGGAAAAAGAATAATATGAAAAGAAAATAAAACTTTTGAATGTACTGAAAGTGGCAAGAGGCTCATAATAAAAGGGAGAAAACTAGAGATGGGACCTGACATCAGTCAGTGTCATATACTAAATGAGGACAGTAACTTGAATTTCACAACACACAAGCAAATGAAACAAATTTACACCGACCTCTCGTGTCACTTTATTATTTTGTGTTTCTACATACAACATGCATGCACCTAATGCCACCTTAATTTTCAACATATGAATATATATATATATATATATATATATACCAAGTTTATACTTTTTTACTGCAAATTATTTCGAAAAAAGCACAAACAGCCAAGAAAAGATTACTAGAAAAAACTATAATATGTTAAACATAATTTTGCTAAATTAGTTAAAAATACTGTTATAGCAAATTAAAACCTTAAAAAAGGATAAGTAAATGGTTGAGATTATACTTTCTTTAGTTTTTGATTAAGGTACAATAACCGTATAAAAAAGTTAACTGTGTTTTTACAATCTATACTTCTGTCCCATTACAGTTCTCACGTGATTGTTTTGACAAATATTGTAACACGCTCAAAGAGTAGACCAAATACCATTCGTTAATCATTCTGCGTAAAAAACACGCAGCAAAACTTTGATTTAATGGAAATATTTATTAAAGTATGGTGAAATCTAGAAGTTCATTAATTGCCTAATTAGGATTCAGAGCATAATCTTAAAATCAAAGTTCGGGCAGACGGGCATGGAACTAAACCCTACACAATTTTTTCCCTTTCTTTTTATCGTCACGTCCTGTCTTTTTCTATAAAAGTTATATACCCTTTCTAATTAATCATCTTAAACAATTATTATTACAATTATGATTTCAAACTACCGCTAATCAAGTTGAGAATGCTTAGATGAGTTAGCATACTAAATGAGAACAGTTTTTTTTTTTTTTAATTTCATAACACAAAGAAAAAGATAAAAATACAATTCAACATTGCTGTTAGAACTTAGAAGCAAAAAGGGAAAACTCATGAACTAATTAATAACAGACTTCATCAAGATTAAGAATGAAACAAATATTTGGAGATTTATTGGTTGTATCAAAAACTAAAAGCAATATTCATCTTCATTCCTATCAGGCTATCATCAGGCTTTACTAAGCAAATCCACAAGCTCAGCTTTCTTCATCTTTGAAATCCCTTTGAGACCCCTTGATTTTGCTATGGCTCTAAGTTCTGTCAACTTCAATGCACTCAAGTCTTCCACTTTCGCAGTTTCTTCCTCGACATCATCATCTGATAATTCATCTACAGCGACATCATGATCTTCATCCTCCTCTTGGTAAAATGACTCTGGTTTCAGTTCTGGCTCTGATTCCACAAGGGCGTGTCCTGGTTCAGATACAGGTTCATACTCAGGCTCAGGCTCAGGCTCGTATTCAGGTTCATCACGCAACTCTACTTGATCCTTTTTCTGAGTCCAGGTGACACTGTAACTTGATTCTTCATCAAAAGTCGCCTCACTAGAATAATTGAACTGCGATTTATGTCTCGGTACAGGAGAATTGCGTCTGAAGCTTGACGCTGGCCTGGTAAAGGGAGTTGCATTATGATCTCTGTTTCGCGAATCAAAGTTTTTGGAACTGTGATCTTGCCTATCTGCAGCATCATCTCCTTGTAGCTGCTTCTCAGAATTAAAACTGCTTTTCTTTACGCTTTGTTCTCCTGAGTGCTTCCTCAGTAACTTGAGAAGAGAGTCCACTGTCTCACTCTCTTTTCCTCCTTGTCCTTTAGAAGCTTCTTCACTCTTCTTATCTTCTTTCTTAGCAGCAGCTCGAGCTCGGAGCTGAGCTTGGACTTTCCTGAAAAGATCCACTACCTCTTTCTCTCTTGGTCCAGGTGATGAAGTAGCCTGGAACTTTGGGGAATTGGATAGAGAGAATATAGGACCGTTTTTGGAAGACAACATCTCAGAGTCATCAAGACCACCAACACCGTCTAAACCGTCTCTATCTTCGTTTCGCCTGTTTCTGCCTCGGAAACCATTCTTATTGTTGTTTCTTGAGAAATCAGGATTGTTTCTCCTATGGCCAGAAGAACTTGCTCGGCACACAAATGAGATTTTGCTAGCGGCAGATTTTAGATTTCGTCCCTTGTCTATGTGCAGTTTGTGAACCAGACAGCAAGAGCAAGGTAATACGGCATGAGTTCTTCTAGACAAAGCAGAGTTAGAGAAGCTCCTGCAGTCTGAAACTCCATAACCTGTATTTACCAAAGCAATACCATTTAAAAGTAAGGAAGGTTTCATAATCCAATATTCTTTACCAGATCAAGAGATTTGAACATATTTTGACACAATCAAGATTCGAATTCAAGCCTTCAACAAAACAGAATGTACAAAAGTCTCTTCATTTCGTAATGACACAAGGTGAAATTAAAAACCTGAACAGAAGCAAAAGCAAACAGATGAAATGAACCAAGAAATAATGTGCGAGCTAAGACAATACGAATAAGTGACTACACCGAAATAGCTTCCCAATCATGTTCAGTGCACAAATGTATTCAATCACATCCCCAACGTTTCATTAGATAAATGTCAGTCACACAAGTAAACCTGCCTAACACTGCAAATTATGCATAAGATTAGACCTTTCATATAATGTTGCTTCGTGTATCACTAATTTTGGTGGCTAAAAATCATCCTGATAATTGCATTGTAGGAATCAGGTTCTGAAATTTTAGCAAAAGCAATGCAATCTTATATGCAATTTTGTTATCCATAGAGACGAGTAGTATAGTAACACCGTGAAAACGAATAAGCCAACGCATACCAATTACCACCTTCACACAGTCATTTCATCGAACGGGTGGTGGACATCCCGAAGGAAATGGCGAGAAGAAAAAAACCCAAAAATAATTTTTATTCAAAACTGAGAACGAAAAGCTTATCCAAATTACCCTCAATTCGAACAACACGAGTTTTTTTTTTACTTCCAGAAAAAACAAACATCGTTTCTCGTTTCAATGAAAAAAGCATAAACCCACTGTGTACTTAGAATGCGTTCGGCAAATAAAACCTCCGAGGAAGAACAAAGATACTGATAACGCAATTTTGATGGACAGAGAGAAAAAATATGAAAAGTACCAGGAACGTAGTCACAAGTAAGCTGCAAAGTTCCTGAAAGCGCCATAAGCAGATTCAAAGGAAGGATTTAGCTTCTTCGTCTTCTTCCTCGTGCATTGGCTTCTCCCCTCTTTTGTTGTGGGTGTGCTATCTCAAATCTCTTCTCTTCAAATTTTGCAGCTTGTTTGCGTTAAAAAAACACTATCGGGCTTCAAAATAGTTTTTATCTATTTTGGGCCTTAAAATGAGAGAACTTAGCCCACATGAAAGAATAACATTTCACAAATCAATCTTTTGTCCCACATCGGTAGTTCTGCTCTTATCGTGCTTGTTTATATAGAGCAAAGAACACATTCTCGACCGTCGAGCTAAGTAACGAGAGCTTGTGACCCGAGTGGGGACAATAAGATGGTGGAACAATGGTTCGGTTCCACGGGTCGGATCTGGCGAGGCATGTTTCTGAGCTGCCCAGTCCAAGCTGAGAGTTATCCGTCTGGTCCGAGCGAAGGCTTGGGTCAGGCGGGTGCTAAAGTCGGAGGGTAATGCGTGAGGCTGGTTTCACAGAGCAGCGACTACTTCCCGCTCTCAGCAGTGGACGGATTACAGCTCGGCGCCTCCCAGATCCACTATGGCCTGCTGGTTCGTTCTCACCTGGACCACCATTTTTTTCCAATAAATTTCCAAATTCCGGTTTACTGCAATTTTTTTTTTGAACCTGTTTAACGCAATTTGTTTCTTATTTATCACTGGATCCAATAATTAAGAAACAGAAAACCATTTTGTCACACCATTTGCCGTAAGTAAAGTGTTTTCATTTTCAAGATAGTTTTGTAACAAGATCACCGGTTTAGTTATAACGCAGATTGATTTTCTTATTTGATTTAAGTTCTATTTGAGACCCTCTTTCGAAATATGCGTCACATGATCAGATCCAATAATTAAGAAACAGAAAAATCATTTTTATTCCACCGACGAGATACATAGCTTTGTTTGTCACACGTAAAATTTCGGTTTGATCATATCACTGTCAGATTTATTCGTTTTCTTATATCTCTCAATCAAATAACGCAAATTTAAGCTTTGAAACAGACAAACACAAGAAAGTGTCTCTCTTTATTGTGCCTTGTGGTTCTTAGCCATCTCGTCCACGTCCAATTCTACTGCCAAGATTGGAGAATCTAGTCCCATTGCGGTGTTACTGATTCAAATCATGTTAAAGCGTAAGCGACAAAGAAACAAGAGCTCAATTTCATGTCTGATTAAGAGAGTAAGCGATAAAGTCTGTTTTTTTTTTACCTGTTCCGAACGGGACCATGATCCACGGCTGTTCTCAGACAATATATAGCTCTTCCAACAATGTCTGCTGTTGAAACTGGACCGAATGTTCGACTATCATATGCTTCCTGTTTTAAACACACACACAAGTGTGATAAAGTCAACAGAAAGAGACTATGCTTTGGTCTCTCGCTTTATAGATCATCCCATGAATTTTCAAAACAAGATGTATGTATGTACCTTAGCTTTGAGCTCCTGGTTTTCAGCTACTACCCAACACTGGTCCTTTTCGAGAACAAAAGGCTCCTCTTTTTCATCACCTGATACCATTTCGAACCCTTCTACAGCTGCTAATCTTCTTACCAGACACTTATCTGAATTGTTTGGGTCCTTTAAGACTACAGCATCTCCAATAAATAGATACCTAAGCACGGAACCCCAACGAGTAAGCATAGATAGTTTCCACAAACACTTTTCTGTGACAATCAATCTTAAAGCAAGTCCATCTCATTAAGACAAGAAGAAACCCTTGGTACAAGTGACACTATTGCAATAGGCTATGATAATGAACCACACTATGCTTACGGGTTAACAGATACGAGCAGCGGAACACCAAAGATGGAAATTTTAACAACAAACAATACAAGTGTAACGCTTATGTTGAACATACCTCGTATTAGCAACTGGTATCTTACGGATAAGAAGTGTGTTTTCGTGTGCTCCCATGGTTGGGGACATTTCGCGTCCTTTATCCGAGTGTAAGTAGGTTATTTTTCCCTGGAACATATTCTTGTAGATTACTTGAATGAGCTCCCGGTCACTCAGCTTTTCTCTCCTATGACTCTGACAAAAATTGAGTAAAATCACAAATCATTAGTATTCCACAAACAAAGCTTTTTCGAAACAGCTGAAAATAAGGATATGCAGCAGAAAAACGACCTGGGAGAAAACAAATTATGAAGGTTACTTTAAGAACTATGTTCAAGGAATAAAGTTTTTTTTCCCCTGTTCATGTTCATGTGATCGAGTGACCATTCAAATATTACTCATTGTCTGATTCATTAAAAAAGATGTGAACTTTGGTAACTGTGAGGTCGATCTATATGAATATAGTTCTATAGAAGCATTCAAGAATCAAAACCTATGAACTTAAGATTCCAACGAAAAAGAGCAAATCCCAACAGAAAGTTAGCCCTTTTGCAATTTCTCAACAACAAAGGTTTACTTTTTTTAATTAAAAAAACGGATGATTATGTCTTCAATTATGAACATATGGATTCAATTGATACGAATGCAGAACTAAAGAAATGTTAATTGGGATGAACAAGAAGAAAAAAGCAGAATTCTAAGAGCATTTTAGTCGTTCCTAAAACCAATTTCTCAGATTACAAAAATCGAAAGCTAAACGCATTAAACGAGTGAAAGAGAGAGAACCTTGAGACTGAGGATGAGGGAATACTCAAACTTGTGAGCCATGTATCTGAACCAAGTCGAGATTGAGGCCATGACCGACAATTCAGTTTTCAAAAAGTGAGTGCTGAGAATTTAAAAGATGGCTTCTCCGCCGCGAATTCACCGCCGCGTCGGTCTTCTCCGCCTCGTCGCCGCCGTGGTCGATAGGATAAACAACAACAACAACAACAACAACCCTATGGAGGCTATTGACTACCGTTTTCTATTAAAAAAAAAACAAATCTTATGACGCGTTGAAACGAAATCGGGAACACAAAATATTTCAGAAGAATAATTGCAAAATGACCCCCCGTTTTTATAATCTATTTCAGATAATCTCACTATATTTTACTTAGTTACAATGCCTCCACCGAATTTTCTGTATTCAATGCCATCATTGATTAGTTGAACCGAAACAAGATTTTCTTAAGCGTAAATTTAAGAAGAAGATTCTAATTTAGTGAATAAAAGTATCCAAACACATCCAATTCTACATACAAGATGATAATATGTAGAAAAGCAAAACGTGCTAATTAACTTTTTCACCATTCTTTATCACTGTTTTCTTGGTGATGAGAGACTTTCACAAAGCTTGACTATGAATGGCTTGTCTTAGGCAAAGGCAAAGACTTAGTAACAAGATCACTTGTTGAAACGCCTCCTCGAGCCTTTAATCGCAATTCCTCAAGAAGTCTTTTCGCATCTTTCATTTCGTCTTTCGCGCTATCTCCATGATTGTCCCAAGCACTGATCACTCGCTGTTGAAATTCCACTGCGAGGTTATAACTGCAAGCAAGCAAAGCAATGGTCACGACACTGAACACTTTTTAAAAACAAACACAGACACATCAAAGATCACAATGTGTTAACAGAAATTTTACTTACTTTCCCATCCCTGCATAAGCTTTAGAGAGATTCTGACAAGCGTCGATTGAATCAACATGGTTAGGACCAAGTGAAACATCCATAATGTCTTTAGCAACCGCAAACATCTGAGCAGCAGAATGTGGTCTTCCGAGTTCTAAATAAGCTGCGCCGAGATTGTTGTAAACATACCCAACTCCAAAATGTTTAGCACCAAAGCTTTCTTTTAACCTCTCCGCTGCACTTTCCAAATAAGGAACAGCTTGAGAGACTCGACCCGAGAACAAAAGCAACCAACCTATCCTAGCTGAAACACTTCCTTCTGAGTGCTGTTCTTGAGGAAGCTTCTCAAGTATGCCCAACGTTTTCTGCAGTAGCGAAATAGCGGTTTCAAATTCGTTCATCGACTCATACATCATCGCTACCTCTGAGTATGCTTCCGCGACTTCTACAGGCGAAGATGTTTCTTTCTTCTCGAGGATTTCGCAAGCCATCTCCAAACATTTCTTTGAATCAGCAAACTTCTGTTGATTGACCAAAGCTTTCGACATCGATATGAACACCATTGCTCTCATCTCACTATCCTTATCGGTCTGTTCCACAACGCCCTTCAATATATCAATTGCTTCCTCGTACTTACCCAAAGCAACCTTCATGTTTGCAGCGTCGATCTCCGCACGAATCAGCTCAAGTTTCATTCCCCAGTTCTTCAACACTCTCTGAGACAGTCGGTTCTGCTCCAAAGCCTTGTCATGTTGCTCTAAACCGCTATAGATCACACCGAGAAGCCTCCTATCTTGAGCAACCTCAGCTGAATTATTCCCCAACTCTTTCTTATGTATCTCCAAAGCCTTCAACGCGTAAGGCAAAGCCTCGTTGAAATTCAAAACCGCTACATAAGCATCAGCCAGACTCCGATTCGCAACACCCATCTCTTTACTATCTTCCTCAAAAGTCATCTCCTTTATCTCCATACTCTTCTTCAGATTCTCAATAGCTTCCTCTCGCCTTCCCATGGCATTCTTAACATTGGCAAGCTCGAGCTGCACGGCGTGAAGAACAGGCCTAACGTCTTCTACAACACAATCACCATCCGCCTCTAGCTTAACAAGGATCCGATTTGCTCTGTTTAAGTAACCCAAACTATCACTAAACCGTTTTAATCCGTAATTAGCAGAGCCCATCAATTGCAACGCCATGGCAACAAGCAGAGTAGGTTTGTCTCCGATTACATCGAAAGATTTAAGAGCTTTGTCAGCGTAAGATAGAACCTTTTCAGGATCCTCACCTTCGCGATCGAGATGGAGACCTAGTTTGAGAGCAGATAAACCTAGCTCGTTCCCTTCGAAGGATAACTCCATCTCCTTGAACAAACGGACCATTTCATCAGTTGTCTTCGCAGACTCGAACGCCTCTTCGAGATCGAACTTTTCCTGATCTATCACCTCACTTGGCGTAAACTCCGTCGGTTCATCGACATGAGTATTAAAGTTCCGAAATTGATTATCCAGAAACCGACTTTTGTTGACGACCAGGCCACCATAGGTTCCGCGGCAAGTTGATATTTCGCGTGCTGAGGAGAAGACTAGAGAAGACGAAGAAGAAGATGAAGGAGAAGCATCCGAAATGTAATTCAGGTGGATTGAAGATGGGATTGATCTGAATTTGTTAAAATGAAGGCGACGGATTAGAGAAATCGAAAGACTTTTCATGGCCGAACTCAAAAAATCTCGTCGTCAGAATCCTCTCTTTAGCCGAAAACCCTCAAAAGAAAAACCCTAAAGAAGTTATATTTTTGCTGGGCTGACTCAGAACCAATACTATGATATTCTAGGAAACAGAATTGAGCAAATACCAAATTTTTTAAGGAACTTTCTATATACAGATACAAACAATAAAGAATTGCATGTAATGTTAGCTTCAAACATAGGAGAAAAGAAAAGGAAAAACATGTTATTATTCCCACATGTCCAGAGAAAACTTTTGACAAGCATCTCTTTTTATCTTCCTTCAACACCATTAAAAGAAAAAAAAGAAAAAAACAACTTTGAATCCAAAAAAATTCATTGTTGTTCACCCTAATGTGGTGCTTGGTGTTGAAGTTTCATGAGGTCTTGAGCTATATACATCGTCGAAATGGAGATCTATCCCAGCTTCAATGTCATCATCATCATCCATGAATGTAGTTCTCGACAACTTTCTTCTTGCAGCCTCCTCCCAATCCAATCCTTCTTCTTGTTCTTCTTCTTCTTCAATGCTTCTTCTGTCCCATGAGCTGTCTAACAAGTTCGTAGTTGTGTACCGGTTTATAAAATCAGGTGGCTCGATGAAGCTATTGGCGGTTGCGGGATGAGATGCACCATCGTGAGAACGGCCGCCTCTTCCCCACCACTGGCTCCTACCATCAAGAGGATGATGATGATTCCCATAGTTTTCTTCTCCATCAGGTTGGTGCTGCCGCAGGATGCTCTCTCTGAAGAACTGGCCCGACGTGCTTGCCTCCATATCTTCACCACGGACTCCCAAATCAGGAGGCCAACAATCCGCAGCGTTTGGGTTTGGAGTCAAGATTTTGTTCTCTCTCTCTATCGAGTGATGAACGGTTCTGTTGTGAGGCTGAGAAGTATAGTACCAGTCAAGAAGATAAGGGTGATTCCGCTGGTCTGAATCAATCAGCCACATGGAGTCAACGTGATTGCCTCTCGAAGGCGGGTTTCTTGGAATGTCTCTGTATAGAGTGCTGTTGTTATCTATATGACCAGCACGAAGGATAGGGGCTTCCCGCCACGCCCTGCTAGGAGAATACGTGTGTCTTGTGTTTATCTCTTGAAGCTTTTGGTCTCGGAAAGTTCTGAGATTTGACAGAAACTGCTTCCCAAGAGAATCTGATTCCCAAGAAGGATAACTACTCTGAAAACTGCAAAAAAAAGTTGGACCACTTACATTGTTTAGCGAGAGAGAGAGAGAGACGATAACACTGAATTTGGATTATATTTTGCAAACAATTTGGGTATTTCAAATGAAAATGATGGCCAGACCTCAAGAATGATTTCTCCATCTTCCCCTGAGAGCTTCTCTCCTCACGAGATGCATTACGAGGTGAACCATATCTAGTATTTCCATGGTTCTCAAAGTCAAAAGCACTAAAGCTGCAAACGGAAATGGCCAAAGGATTAAAAAGGTTGAACATCGCGAGGAAAGAGCAAACAATTATTTATCTTAAACTTCTTAAGAATTAATCATGAGCTTTACCTGCAAACATTGCCTACACCTTCAATATCAACTGTAAAACTTCTGATGAATTGCAGTATATCTTCAACCCGCTGCAAAGTGAATTCAAAATGTGTTTGAAACTCCTCAATAGTGATATCTGATCTATATACACTAATGTAAAAGACAATAAATTATACCTTTGGCACGACAAACATCAGCAAAAACGGTGTTATGAAAATCGAAGCTATCTCCTCCAGTAACATCATTCCAGTATACTACAGTGAATAAATTTCCATCAAGAATCATTTCTCCAGAAAGTACAAGAAACGAAGGGGAATAAGAGAACATTAAACATAGTACCTGAAACAGAGTCTCTAATTCCAGACGGACATCATCTTTGTTCTCCTTACCACGCCATCTCTTAGGCATATAGTGAGTGTGTTGGACCACTGCAGTCATAGTTCCTACTGGGTCGAGGACCAAAAGTTCATCCGAAATAGCAGCCCGGCTAATAGCTGTAATGGCTCCGAATACAGCAGCATACCAGAACAGATTGCGACCGTATATCTACACCAAGTGGTCAAACAAACTTTAGCAACCCACAATGAAGTATCTATTAAAATGCATTTTAAGTCGTTACTCGTTAGCACTTCTTACATGGCCCTCTAGAAGAGATTCTTCCAGAAACGCAATGATGATTAACACAGCAGCAAAGCCGCCAGAAACAAACGAAACGAACTTCGCAATAATGGAGATGATAGGTGAGGGGAACTGTTTTAGGTATTCAGAGGCGTCAACGACACTGCTGTTAATCCGATGCTTGAATAAATGGTCAACCTATAGTAGAAACAGACACTTAGAAGGCAACACATATATATATATCGTCCATTCGCAAAACATTTACTCGAATTTATGGGCATGACAGCCAGATGAAGGTGAGTACCTCGTTGAATTCCCTGAAGAGCCACTTAGACAAATTGGACCATCTTCGAGAAGATGCAGTACTTGGATGATTGTAGAACTGTTCAGCATGCCTTAGGAATAGATACACCAACATAAAGATGACAAGAAATGGTGACAGCAGAAGCATAGCTAGCCCAACCACGAATAGCCGTTTCTTCAGTGTCGTCGGATTTGAAACAAAGTCCCTTCTAACACGAAAATTGCTGCAGAATGAAAACGCCTGAATTAGAAAAAACGGACAACACTTAGCATGTGCAAGGAATTTTCATTCCATGGCATTACTTTTCACTGTAGTAGTTAGGTCATTGAGAAGCAACATAAAAAGATGAAATATAACATACATGTGCTTCGGCCACCCCTCAATGTACGATCAAAGGGTGAGGCACACTTTTGTTAAATATACACATACATGGATTATACAAATCTAACAGGACAGTCGCATTAACTTGAAAATATCACATAGTCTGACCAAGAGATATCAACCCACAAAAACTGAAGCTATCACCTTCATTACATTCCTCTATTAGCAGTTCATTATATCCTATATCTACAATGTTACTAGAAAGCTATTTTCAGATTAGATCAAAGATTATCATGTATAATAGCATACCAGTCAAACATGCTCTGCAATATGCACCAGTTAAGGGTCCACTCAAGGGTCTTTGTCAAAACAAGGTGATACTGTGTCCCATCTGGAGCAGATTTTACTACAGGACCAGCACCAGGGATCCAGTGGGAAATTGGGAAAGAAAGCAGACCTTTGTTGAGCATTCCAATCAAGTAATTTTCTTTCCGCATAAGGCGCATAACAATATCATGAGCTGACAGATCCTTAACCACACAAAGGCATTGTGAGCTTTGTAATTGAACAACCTTCTCAAGGACTGTTGCCCATGGCATAGTAAGGATTTCGTTGTCTGTGACATGGAGACTGCAAATTTACAACACGAAAAGAAAATACGTTATGGTCTAATATGTATGTTTTTGTTCTAGCAATAACTGTTTATAACATGTTTCCTCTTCCAGCTTACCTGTTGTAATAGAAGTGCCGAAAGTCCAAAGTATCTTTCAACTGGGCGAAGAACCTTAAGAAGCAGAAGATCCAGTACAATGAGAAGAGGGCCAAATATCCAACAATTATAGCCGTTGTGAGCGTGAAAGGGGATAGAGGATGCTGATGGATAGCTTCTTTAACAAGATCACATGGCTTAGTTCCCGATTCAACTGCATCCATTCCACATTTTGCGTTCTGAAGACCATGCCAATCAACAAACAACAAGAAAAACCCAGAGAAGCATATGATGAAGCCAAGACTTAGAAGCTCAACAGCCCACTTTACGATGATGCACCAAAGGCCTTTGTCTCTGTAGTAGCTGTAGAGTTTTTCAAAGAAGAGATCCAAATCAGCAATTGGCTGAACATTCAAGCTCTCTCCATTAAGAAGTCCCGACGGGCTCTCACTACCAGGACTTGGTATTCCCCCATAGTTGGATAGCTCAATCTCGTGCGACGCATTATGAAGCAATCCAGTAGTCAAAGACGATGATGAATCACTACGTTGCCATTTGAAAAAGTTGAACACATTTGGAGCCTTTTGCCCACTGCTCATCATTCGTAAACACGGACGATCGGACAAAACAGCCAGTCCATTACCCGTTTACCACGAGGAAAATTTAGTGTAGTACCTAACGAGAATGCAGCTAAAAATCCTGCATCAAACATAAATAATCGAGAATTCAAATCGTGACAGAGATGACTTTTCTTATGCAAATAATAAGTTCCAATGTTCGAACTAGAAGCAGATGCAATGAAAATACATATCCGACGAGACACAAAGGCAAATCAAATCCTTGGAAGCAGAAAGACAAACTAAATGATAAGAAACTTGAGGCATAACTTGATAAACACATGTTTCTACTACTGTTTCCCACGATGATAAATATCAACTACTTACCTAACCTTTGCTTGACACTCAGATTACTATTCAATTCAAATATTTCCTCAACTATTTAACTAACAGAATCTATGGACTCAAAACACAGAGTAGAGAGTAATCTAGACTCAACCGAGATGCCGAAACAAGGTTTACGCAACCGTAGCACAAACAACGGACCTTGATCAAACTCGATTCCCTTAAACCGACTCTGTTATTCACAAGACAAAGAAGCAAAAACGGCGAATTCCAATCCCAAGAAGGAATCAAAGTTCTCTATTTTTAAATGCGATTCAATCAGGAACGATACGATTCTTGACGAAATGGAAACGCCAAACCCCAACGCCCAAAACCCATAATCTAACTAGATAAACTCATCCAACCCACAAAGTAATTCCTCCCCTTCACAATCACTGTACGATTTTTCAAAAAAAAAAATTAAAAAAAGGAACTTTATCGATAACTACAAACGAAAAAGATCAAAACTTACCAGCGACCCACAAAAGGAAGAAGAAAAGAGAAGGCCGTGAAAGCGGAAGTTCTGTAACCAGCTAGGAAAATAGTCTTGAAGCCGAAGGCTGGAATCAAACGGGAATTACGCGGAACTTTGATTCCTTAGGGCAGTGGAAATTCGATGAAGAAGTTGAAAAGAGCGAATTGAATTGATCGACGGGACGATTAGAGAATTGTGAGGGAGGAAAGACGAAGAAGAAGAGGAATTGGGTTTGCGTGGAAGAAAAGAGGAGTGATAAAATATTGATCCTTTATGCTTGGAGGACTAAATTTTGGTTTTGGATTTGGGCTTTCTTCATCTTCTTCCTTCTCCTACAGATACTCTCCCTTTAATCAAATAAACGTCATAACGAGTCCCTCTTTTCTTCTCTTCTTCCTTTTTTCCCCCTAAAGTCTTCGATCCTTGCTTACTTGGATCATTATTATATATCTTGTTTTAGTTTTATAATATAACGGAAAATCAATTTCAAATTTATGTACAAGAATTTGAAGTAATTTAAAGTGTTTCACTGTTTTGATGGAATTTAAACTCTTTCTATCAAAAGCAGAGCAAAAATGGTAAAAAATAGTAGTTCTTTACAATTTTTAGGTAAAATTATATTAAATTCCTTCCAAATAATAATAATATTATCTAAACTGGATAATATTAACATTTAATAAAATTAATAAATTAAATAACACTAGAATTCGATGTAATTTAATAAAATGCATAAATTCATAAAACACAATTGAATAACAATAGAATTAAAAAGAATCTCCAATTCTATCAAAATCTATTAAATTCTTAAATTGAATAACCTCACTTTAGTTAATTTTAAAGCCAAAATATGCGTATTTTTGTTTATAATTTTTATATTATAAGGTTACAACTGATTAAAAATGCTTATATAAATAATGGGCCAATCCTTTTTAGCAGGCCACCGGCCCATTTATCTTAATTTACTACTTCAGGTGATTATGTATTGAGAAGTGAGAACCACCATGTGAGAAGCCCTATGACTCTAAAGAAAGAAATCTACGAAAGTTTTAATTGATGGTTAGACCATCAAGTTTTTTATATTTAAAAATTAATAAAATTGAAAAAAGAGAAGAGGGAGAGAATGAAGAGAATCTATCATTTGAGAGATTGTGAGAGACTTATCTTATATGTTTTTTTTATATTATTGGTTTTTTTTTTTTAATTTAAAACAAAAAAATATAATCAAATAATATTAAAATTAATGTTATTAAATTGGTTAGAGACTTATGTGAGTCTCTCACCAATGCAGATGCTCTTATAATATATATTTTTTGTTAGTTCTAGCATAGCAACATTTGTTATGTACATTACATACAATCTTCTTCTTCTTCTTCTTCTTCTTCTTCTTTGTGGATTAGGGTTTCCCACATATGAACTTGTCAAGGTGTTTAGCGTCATTTAATTAGAGTTACTCTAAGAAATGACGGTAAATAAAAATTAATGAAGTTCGATCTATCTCGATCTATCTCGATCTCTACCTTGATCTTCCGTTTTCAGAAATTTCTCACTCAAAAACCTCTTCGATCGAAAATGATCTTCACAAACACACTTATCTTTCTCACCGAAAACGAATTCGTCGGATCTTATTCATCTCGTTTCATCTCCATTTCCTTTGAAATCGGTTTGGGTTCACTCAAATTGATCGAAGATTCCGTCTCCAAAATCGTTGGATCTTCTTCGCCACTCTAATTCCTCAAAGAAGAAGGTTAGTAATTCTGAGATTTCGTAAGGTTCTCTTCTGTTTCTGATTGGTGAATGTATCGAAGAGTTTATGATTTGTGATTACTTTTTTGCAAAGAGTTCCCGGTGACAAGTCTCATTTCCGGAGGCGGCGCAAATCTCAGCACGATACACTACTATCACATTAGAGGTAAGCTTTCAAAATTCTGTAATAATGCTTCTTTGAACTGGATTTGATAATGCTTTGAACTGGGTTTGATAATGCTTTGAACTGGGTTTGATAATGGTTTGTGAGATTTATGCTGTTTTGCTACTGGTTGGTAATTGATTTGATAATGGTTTGTGATAATGCTTTGAACTGGGCTTGATAATGGTTTGTGAGATTTATGCTGTTTTGCTACTGGTTGAACTGGGTTTGATAATTAGAGCTGATTCTATATAACACATTTCTATGTGAACCAAATTATATACGTTTCACCAAATAGTATAGAAATCTAAATATAACAAAAACTACTGAACATTATCATTGTTTTATGAAAGTTATAGACTTCGTGTATATGTATGTGCTTTGAAAATATTATTACTGATTTCAAGCTTATTTAAACTGGATTTGATAATGCTTTGAACTGGGTTTGATAATGCTTTGAATCATCTTCTTTGAACTGGATTTGATAATGCTTTGAACTGGGTTTGATAATGGTTTGTGAGATTTAAGCTGTTTTGCTACTGGTTGCTAATCGATTTATTCTATTCTGCTTCAGATGAACTGTAAATATGTTAGATAATTGTTTTCTCTGCTCGTTAATTAGAGCTGATTCTATATAACACATTTCTATATGAACCAAATTATATGAAAATTATAGACTTCGTGTATATGTATGTGCTTTGAAAATATTATTACTGATTTCAAGCTTTTTTTGTTTGTGTGTGGATATGGTTGATAGATTTTTGTACTCTCTAACTCTCAATAAAAGAATGAATTTGTATTGAAATGAAAGAATGTATCCGATTACAAAGTGAACCTCGATCACATACGATCTTGGTTACTGATCACATACGATCAGAAGAAAGCACACACGCTTTTCTTGACAATGTAATTTTCTCCATAGAAAACGAAAACAGAGAACACTCCTCTCCATTTATACGAAACATCCTTTATTTACAATCTTTCTTCGCTGCTGACTCACCCGCCAGCTCAGCTCTTGACTCTTTTCTCACTCTCACGTTGACTCGCTTCTTCTTCGGTCCCATTCTTCTTCCTTTTGCGATAATACGTTTGATGAATCGTATCAATGGTAGACTTTAATTTATTTCTGCTGATATTCGTTGTCTTGCACCGGGTCCATCTGATAAGGTTTTAAAGTTTTCAGCATATAATATCAATGGTTTCAAGTTTAGGACTATAGAAAGGGATCGAGATCTAAAAACTCAAAATAGTGGAGTTTTTGTTTCAGCTGAAACTATTAGTTATGCAAGTTCTCGCGATCATAATCCTAGAGCTGGAGATGTTTCTTACTATGGGAAATTGGTTGAAATTATAGAATTAAACTACTATGATTCGTTTAGAGTTGTGTTATTCAAATGTAAATGGGCTGATACTCGTGATGCTCGAGGATATAGGAAGGATGCTATGGGTCACACTATGGTGAATTTTTCTCGTTTGATACACACTGGAAATGGTGAAGAAGATGAACCTTATGTCTTGGCTTCTCAGGCTAGATTGGTTTATTATATAGAAGATCCGCAAGAAAAAGGATGGAATGTTGTTGTTCATGTCCAACCAAAAGATTTGTATGACATGGGTGATCCCACTATTTCAGAAGAAGATGAAATGATTGAAGATCCTCATGTTCAAAGTTCATTGCTTATATCTGATAATGTTTCTAGCATTAGATTAGTGAGACTGTTAGAAGATCTTGACAATATGGAGGTTGACTGAAATTTACTTGCTTTATATTTACTTGATTTATATTTCTTGCTTATCTTAACAATCGTTTTACTTCTTTTATAGGTATAGATATGTCTGAAGATCTCATAGAACCACCTCCTCTTGGACCAGAATTAGCAAGTGGAAAATGGAGAGTCCGTGTCATAGGTTTGTAAACTTTTGCTTTGTCTATGGGGTGATGTTTATTTGCTTTTATGATTAGTCTGGGATAGTGATGTTTCTTCTGTTTTAGATGGTGATGCAAGAATTACAGAAGAACAAATTTCGGGAAAAGAAGTGTGGAGCATGCTAAACCGGCGGGTGATGGTTGATTTCAATAGGAACGGTCAGGTTATCAAGGATTCAGGAGGCTTGTTTGGTTCGTGGCTAGGCTCATTAAGTAACGATCTCAATCTACTTCCTATAAACTACACTGATTGGAGGAGAGTTTCCAATTACAGAAAAGAGATGGCTTGGAAAGTAATTCAGGTAATATGTTCTAATCATTCAGTACATGTTTAAAAACTGTTAACTCTTTAAAAACTGTTAACTGTTTCTATTATTATACAGAAAAAATTCTGGTTTGATGACCCAAGAAAAAGGAAGAAATATGTTCTATCTACTCTAGGATGTAGATGTAGAGCCTTGAAGCAACGCCTTTGGGAGGCTCACAGACGAAACACTATACAAGAATCATTTGAAGCACGGCAGGTTTGGTTCCAGAAGATCAATGGAAAGAGTTTGTGGAAATACAATTCACTGATCTAAATATGGAAAACTTGGCGTGATTTGTATAAATGATGCTAACAACTTTAGCATCATGCGATGTTAAGTCACTTTACTAAGTGACACCAAGTTATTAGAATCAATTTTTAATTGACGCGAACTAAAAAAAAACCGACGTTAAATTCCTTCTTTTTTGTAGTGTTTAGGATTTTCAATCAAGCCCCAGATTTTGTTGACTAAACCAAGAAAACCAAAAAAAAATAATTAATGTTTAAACAGGTTAATTAAAAACGAAATCAATTTTTTTTATAAAAAATATATTTTTAGTCACAGAAAAAAAACAATGGCAATTATGTAACAAAATAAATTGATTTTGATATTTTTAAAAAACCACGATATAATTACTACAAATATCGTGTCTAATAGACAATATTGCCACGAAAAATATCAGTAACTAATTCGTGACTATATAATCGTCATGAAATAAATTAGTCACGATCGTATAGGTACAGTTTTTTTACGTGACTTTTCATGGCTATAAAACCATATAGTCATGGTATTTTTGCTTTAACCACGAATAAAACAGTGGCTATAGCCAGATTTTTTATTAGTGTCGATTGCATACAATGTTTCTTACAATGGCAGATGCAAGAGCTGTTCTCATCAAAATGGCTGATCGTCTACACAACATGATGACGCTTTACGCTTTGGTCCCCTGTGAACAGGAGTGTTCCGCTTGATTGTTATATTGAACAAGCTCCGGAACATGCAGATGTCAGTGCAAGAATTTCCAGCGAGTTCAACATTGTCGGATCTGCTGAGCCGGGCGGGGCAAGGGAGCTCGAGGTGGTGCATGTATGGGATACCATCAATGGAAGAACTAAGATCGAGGCTGAACCAGAAACGTCTAAGCGAACATAGGTGGAAGCTGAAGATGGGTGATGTGGTGGAGCTGACTCCACCAATTCCTGATCGAGGTCTCGCGTTTTCCCGCCCTGGGACAATGGTCGGCTGGGGAAGCTGATGACTTCTCTCTGTGATTGTATAAAAGTATGTAAGTAATGATTAATTTGTTGTACATATAACAATGCTTCTGTTGATTCAATATAAGCTGGAAAAAGGTTAAACAAATATTTCGAGAGATTTCAAAGAGAGAAAATCGGATGCTCCAGGTGTTCTATTTGGGTTTTGATTGGTCAATGTCGATTTAATGATTTGGTTTGTTTAGAATATTTATTAATACTATTTTTATTGGTTCCTTAGAGTATTAAACTGGCAAAGATTTAGAAACTTTGGTATAAATTTTGAAATTTTTTTTGTAAAATAAATACTATCTTTTTCTTGTTGTAAAATATGTTCTCTCTTATAATATTATTAATTATGTATTGTGTTTATGAATTATGAATGAGAAAAAGATTTAGAGAAACTAAACTATCCCAAACTAGCTAATCAAGCCCATCGCCATATCCTCATTTCCCAATTGTGTTTCAAAAACTATTCTATTAGCCACTCAAGTTTTTAGAAAGTTTATCCCTATATTGTAGGAAAACTGGTTTTTGAAGAGAATTACCATTTTAAAACAAAAACCAAAATCTATGTTTTTTTGAGGTTTCTCCTATACAGTTAAGTTATCGATTGATTTATTGTCTTTTTTTTTAACCTTTAACTTTAATATTCTCTGTATAAGATCAAAAGCTCTCACACAAATATCTAATATATAGTCAATTCTAAACTTCGTTTAATCTAGTCGTTGCTTGATTTTTTAAGTATATATGTAATGATTAATTTTCCTCAAGTTGTTAGTTACTGTATTTATATTTTTTTTTCTACAGAAGAGGAACCGTTTGTTTTCTTCAACTATATATTAAGTTATATGGACTTTCAACTCAAAACCAATTGGCAATGAGTGGATTGACCCAAATCTTATATATACTAGTGTTGGTTCCTTTAAACTTCCGATGTGGGATTCCAACACGTCCCCTCGAGATGATGGTTCTTATCAGCCCATCTCAAACTGAATCCCACTTTAGGACCAGTAATAAACCCTTTTTGGGCCACCCTACTTGGGTTAACAAACTTGGCTCTGATATCATGTTAAGTTATATGGGCTTCCAACTCAAAACCAATTGACAATGAGTGGATTGACCCAAATCTTATATACTAGTGTTGGTCCTTTTAAACTTCCGATGTGGGATTCCAACACTATATGAAGGCAATCATGGCTTGTTAATGAATTTGCTTTAATTCGCTGTGATCAGGAGGGAGAGCAGCTGACCTGAATGAGACCGTAGAAATGTGAGACAGATATTCTCGACCTAGAACTCCCCGAGAGCTTGAAGATAGGGGGTAATACAGTCCAAAAGATGAGCAGTGAGAAAGAAATGTCACCTTTGTGAAGCTGTAAACCTTGTGAGTGAAGATTGTGTTAACGATAACGATGGGGATGCGCAGAGAGAGGAAGAGAGAAGAGAGACGAGAGAGATAATAATTCCTTTTTGATTGATTTTCCCAAATTGGCACAACGCCTTACAAGTAGGGTTTCTCGTACCAACTACTGAATCACTATTACATAACCGATAAATTGGTCCATTAATTGAAAATGCAACATAACTGAAATAAGAGATAAACCGGAGATAACTAATCCTATAAAAATGCCCCCTTGTTGAGAACATCCTTGTCCTTAAGAATAGAATTCTGAAAACTTACTGATGAAATCTTGATAAAACTCCCATGTTGCTTCATCCGGAGAGGACCCCTTCCACTGAACTAATACTTTCGTGACAGCCTTGTTTTGCCTTTTTACCATTTTCTTCTCAAGTATTGCCTCGGGTTCTTTGGTGGTGTCAATGTCGAGAAGGTACTAGGGAAGTGAAGGATCAGACGCTGTCAGATTGGGACATAGCTTAAGCTGGCTTACATGAAAGACATTGTGGATGACCGCTGTTGCTGGGAGCTCCAATTTGTAAGCAACTTCACCAACCTTGTCAGAGATATGGAACGGACCATAAAAGCGAGGTGAGAGCTTGTGTGGGAGCTTTCTGTTCTTAAGGGCGTGCTGCCGGTACGGTTGAAGCTTGAGATACACAAAATCCCCAACTGCAAACACTCTCATGGACCTGCGGGAATCTAGAGTACTGTTTCATCCGGTTTTGTGCTCTCAACAGATGAAATTTCAGCATGTTAATTACTTCTTCCCGTTTTTGCAAGCTTCGATCAACCACCGAAGAAGAACTCTCACCAGGTAGGTACGGGAGGTGAAGTGGAGGTGGTTGCCCATAAACTATCTCAAAAGGGGTGCTCTTTATGGTTGAGTGATACATAGTGTTGTACCACCATTCAGCTAGAGGTAACCATTTGCTCCAAGTAGGTGGTGCTTCGGAAGTCATGCAGCGAAGGTATGTTTCCAGAGTCTTGTTGGTGACCTCCGTTTGCCCATCCGTTTGCGGGTGATAGGCTGTGGAGATTTTCAGTGCTACTCCATGGACCCTGAATATTTCTTTCCATACCCCACTCAAAAACGTGGGATCCCTGTCACTCACAACATCCTGAGGCATTCAATGTAGCTTGAACACATTATCCATGTAACTTTGAGCCACTTCAATCGCAGTATATGGGTGAGAGAGATCTATGAAGTGTGCGTTTTTTCTCAGCCTATCAATAACCACAAGGATGCAATGTTTACCTGAAGAAGGAGGGAGCCCTTCGATAAAATCCATACTGATGGATTCCCAAACTCCTTTAGAGATCGGTAACGGCTGAAGTAGACCCGGTTTGGCAGCCAAGTCGTATTTATTTTTTCTGGCAAATCGAGCAGTTGCGCACATAGTGTTGTACCTCGGTGCTCATCTTCAGCCAATAGAATAGAGATTTGACTCTATGGAGCGTTGCATCACGACATGAATCATGGAGTCACTTTAATATATGAAGTTTTACTGCCTGGTCATTGCCAACGACGAGCTTCCCTTTTCGGCGAAGTTCCTCATTGATGTAAGAAAACGCAGGATGCAAGCTGGGGTTTGTTGACAGGTCAGTGATTATCCTTTGTAGCTGAGGGTCGGTTTTCCAGAGGAGCTGCAGAGAGTCATAAAATCCCTGGTGAGCTTGCGAGAGGGTGATCTGAAAAATCTGAGAACCTGTAACATGAGAGAGAGCGTCAGCAATATAATTCTCTTTTTCTTGTTTGTACTGAATCTCAAACGTATATCCCATCAATTTAGATAACCACATATGCTGAAATGGTGTGGAAATTTTCTGCTCCATCAGATATTTTTGGCTATTTTGGTCCGTGCGGATGATGAAAGGCCTATGAGCAAGGTAGGCATTCCAAGCCGCATGCACAACCGCCATAAGCTCCTTCTCATACACCAAGAGTGATTGGTGTCAGGGGCCTAGAGCTCTACTTATGAAACAGATGAGGTAATTGTCTTGCATCAACATTGCACCTACTCATGTGTTCGATGCATCCGTCTCTACAATGAAGGTCTTTTCGAAATTTGGGAGAGCCAAGACCGAAGAGGAAGTAAGGGCTGACTTTAGAGCAACGAAAGCCTCATTTGTATCTTCTGACCAACAGAAACTGTCTTTCTTGAGGAGAGCCGAGTGTGGACGAGCAATGATGCAGTACCCTTTGTTGAAATGGCGGTAATAGTTCGCTAGGCCGAGAAAACTACGCAGCTATTTCTAATTTGGGGAATGGGCCAGTCTGCGACAGCCTTGATCTTAGCGGGATCAGTGCTGACTCCCTCAGCTGAGATGAAGTGGCCTAAGTACGCAATGACTGTGGCTCCGAATGTGCATTTGGAGGCCTTAAGATAGAGTTGTTGGTGTCTTAGGATCGAGAAAATCGTGTCAAGGTTGCAGAGATGCTCTTCCCAAGTGGTAATATATACAAGTATGTCATCAAAGAAGACAAGGGGAAACTTCCTAAGGACATCTTGAAACACGTGATTCATCAGGCCTTGAAAAGTGCAGGGAGCATTTGTGAGGACGAAAGGCATCACAAGATATTCATAGTGTCCTGCGTGAGTCCGAAATACAGTTTTGTACACATCCGGTGGAGACATCGAAAGCTGGTGAAAGCCTGCTCGGAGGTCCAGCTTAGAGAAATATCTAGAACCGCCTAACTCATCAAGTAAGCCTTCCAGCAGAGGAATAAGATACATATCTTTAATGGTCTATTTGTTCAACCCCATGTAGTCTACACATAACTGCCAAGAGCCATCTTTTTGTCTTTACCAGGACAATGGGCGATGCGTAGGGACTAGAGCCACTTTGTATGATTCCCTGTGACAACATGTCCTTAACCATCTCATCAATAACATTCTTTTGCAGAGAGGAATACCTGTATGGTCTGAGGTTCACTAGGTTGGCGCCTGCCTTGAGAAAGATTTGGTAATCCCTCGCGAAATGGGGATAACCCCTGTGGTTCTGCAAACAGGTCTGCGTATCTCTCTATGAAGGGCTGCACTGCGGCAGCAAGTGAGTCCTCTGTGTTACCTGCTGAAATATGTGAGAACAGAGACTCTCGCTGTAGTTCTGCATCCTCAGTTCCCAACTCACATACCTGCAGCATGGCTATTTGTAGACCTTGCTGAAGTAGTTTATCTAAACTGCCACCATTGATCACCTTGCAACCATTCTTAGTAACCCCTTTGAGCATATGTTTTAACCCTTGGAATGTGAACTCCATCCGAAGGTTTAGAAAATCCCAGAGTATGGGGTATAATCTGGAGAGCCATTGTACTCCCAACACGAGATCACAATTGTCGAGAAGGAGGGTGCAAACCTCCATATTGAGTAAATAACCCTGCACTTAGAAGTTGAAATCTTTGCATTTGTAACCCGTGATCAGATTTCCCCCTGCAGCAGCTACCATCATGGGTTTAATGGGCTCCAGGTTACACCCGAGTTCCTTGGCTACATTCAGATCAAGGAAGTTGTGTGTGCTTCCAGGATCAATGAGGATGTAAAGGCGCTTCTTGTTCCCATATTGACCTGTGACCCTCATACAATGGAAACTTGCTGACCCATTTAACGCATTATTTAGAGATAATAAGAGTCTTATCAGCGGTATTGGGAGCTTCCTCTTCAATGACCAAATCGATGGGTTCTGCTTCATCATCAGAAATATCATCACAGTCGAGCATGTAAATTTGTGTCCTCTTATGCTTCAGCTGGTGACCAGGGACAAAGGGTTCATCGCAGAACATACAAAGACCTTTGTTTCTCCTCTCCTGCATCTCTTCATATGTAAACTTTCGGGGTAACTTGTCCACATTGTTCTTGGGAATAAAGTTTAGTTTGAATGCTTGGCCCCTTGCTGTATCAGATTGCTCGGGAGAAGGCAGCAGTGGAGTTTGGTTAGTGACCTTCGAGAATTGATGGGTATTTGACTTCTGAAAAGGACTGAAGGGAACTCTATGTGTGCGGTTTGGGGTGCACGCTAAAGCTGATTCATGGAGAATAGCGATTCTTGCAGCCTCAGAAATCGTCTTCACTTCAAACTGACGCACATGGAGAGCAAGGTGCTGGTTCATGTTTATGAGAAAGATACTCAAAGAGTGTTGGGCCGGGAGGGATAACCTGGAAAGGGCACAATTAAACTTCTCCAGATAAACCGCGACGGAGTCCTCTCCTTGTTTTAAACTCACCAATTCAGACAAAGGATCATCATAAACCTTGCAAAACCTTGCCGATAACTCACCAACGTACTCTGGCCAGGATGGGAAGATATCATAGAGCTCCTTGATAAAGTTATGATTCCACTGCCACGCTTTCCCTTTGAGGTGGAGACATGCCAAGCGCACTTTCAGTTCTGGTGGTGTGCTATCGAGCATGAAGAACTGTTCGCAACGGGAGACCCATTCACTGAGCCTGGTGCCATCAAACATTGGGAAACCCACCTTTGTAAGTCGAGAAGACATTCCGTTTGGCAGTAGTGGCTCTCCGGGTCCGGGGGTTTCAGCGATGCCTTTCCCCTTAGTAAACGGCGCAGATCTGGCGAGGTCTGGTGGGTCTGGTGGTTTGGAATGCTCAGGTGAGGCCAGTAGGCCAGTCGGTTGAGAAGACCCACTTTCCTGAACACGAATCGGAGTAGACCCAGCCGAGAAATACTTCAGAGCCACCGTTTCGAGCCCTGAAAATTTATCATCGAAACTTGAGAACTTTCTATCAAGCTTGCTTCTTAGGTCTGTGAAAAGGGCGTCAGTGTGGATTTTTTGTTCCTCCATCTGTTTGTTGAGCTCGACCAAAGAGTGTTGTTTTGTTTCCATGACCGTAATCTGAGGACAGTAAGAGCTCTGATACCAGTGAGACCGTAGAAATGTGAGATAGATATTCCCGACCTAGAACTCCCCGAGAGCTCGAAGATAGGGGGTAATACAGTCCATAAGATGAGCAGTGAGAAAGAGATGTCACCTTTGTGAAACTGTAAACCTTGTGAGTGAAGATGGTGTTAACGATAACGATGGGGATGCGCAGAGAAAGGAAGAGAGAAGAGAGACGAGAGATAATAATTCATTTTGATTGATTTTCCCAAATTGGCACAACGCCTTACAAGTAGGGTAGCTCGTACCAACTACTGAATCACTATTACATAACCGATAAATTGGTCCATTAATTGAAAATGCAACATAACTGAAATAAGAGATAAACCGGAGATAACTAATCCTATAAAAATGCCCCCTTGTTGAGAACATCCTTGTCTTTAAGAATAGAATTCTAGAAACTTACTGATGAAATTTTGATAAAACTCCCATGTTGCTTCATCCGGAGAGGACCCCTTCCACTGAACTAATACTTTCGTGACAGCCTTGTTTTGCCTTTTTACCATTTTCTTCTCAATTATTGCCTCGGGTTCTTTAGTGGTGTCAATGTCGAAAAAGTACTGGGGAAGTGAAGGATTAGACGCTGTCGGATTGGGACATAGTTTAAATTGGCTTACATGAAAGACATTATAACCGATAAATTGGTCCATTAATTGAAAATGTAACATAACTGAAATAAGAGATAAACCGGAGATAACTTATCCTATAGTACTGAATCACCGTGGTGGTGATAGGATGGTGATGTTCAATTATACACATGCAACAATGGCCGCAATTAATGGTATATAATCTTTATTCGCGAGTGAGCAAACTCAGCAATTATACATATGCAATATTACTTTTCTCTCGGTTTGTGTGCTTCAGTTGTGCATCAAATACTATTATTGTTGATCTAAATTAGTTTAATTTCTCTTCTCCTGTATTCTATTAAACTTAAAAATAGTTTATAAGTATTTTTTATTATTATTATAAACTATCATTTTTAGCCAAATTGGTTTAATTTGTTGTCGAATGAATTTCATAAAGGCAGGATGTGTTGTAATGTTTTTAGTAACTACAATTTCTTTTGTGTGTTCTCTAATTATAGATAGTTAAAAATTAAGATAAATTTTCTTAATTCAGTTTTCATAATTTTGTTTCTTGTATGCTTTTTCATTCGTTTTTGTTTTATAGTTTTGATATTTTCATGTCTTTTTTAGAACAAGACTGCTTGCTTCAGCTAGTCAATTATTAATTTGTATTTTGCTAATCTTTCAATTTTGTTTCTTCTCAGTTTTCAATAATCACAAGAACATCTTTTCGTAATCATAAGGTTTTGTTCTTCATTATGTCGTATTTTGAATAGTTTTATTACAATACTTTTTTTTCCATAAAAATTCATGCAAAAATAGTTAAACCTTTGCAAGATTGTTTATTTTTTTGTATAATACCATTTTATAAAATATTTGTCACTAATAATATTACAGTTTTTCGTCAACTTATGAGCACTATACGATAAAACTGATAAAAAATTGTTGTTTTTATAGACTTAATAGTATTTCAAAAAATCATTCATATATTATAGTTTATGTGTTTTTGTAATAATCAATGTTCATTAGAAATGTTTTTCCAGTTATTTTTTTAAGATCCCAAATATAAAACACAATCTATATTAACTAAAATTTTAAATATAAAATTATAATAAAATTTTGAAAAATATAAAATTTATTATAAAGAGATTGCAGTTTGTTAGTAAAAATAGTAAAAATGATAATTGCAAAATTTGTCATTTTCAGTGAAAAATGTTTAATCCTAATATTTAGAATAGGGATGTGATCCTGACCCCCCAAAAAAGAACAGGCATGTGATAAATAATTTAAAGTTTGAAAAGAGAAATATAATGTATAGATGTAAGATATTGATTAGTTTTGATTTGGTGGACTTACTATTTATTTTATGTATATATTCTCTCTTTTTTCTGGTGAAGAAATTCCCTTATTATAATGGAATTTGATTTTCAAAGAATCTATAAATATTGAACCAGCATGTACATTGCAAGGGCATATACATTCTGTTCTTCTTGATTATAAGTAGCAGAAAGATCAGAAGTGTTTTTAGTCGTACATACATAAAATCCATATGATTTCTGTTCACAATCTTAAAACTGTTGAACAGATATGTTTTATTTTTTTCCTAGTTTGACATGCATCTAGAAAGGGGTTGTTTTTGGGCATCATTATGGGCCTAATGGGCTACTTTTTATCGACGATATGATTTCGCGGGAAGCAACGGCAGAATTTGGCGGGAGTCACACGTGGCTCCCCTCTCTCTCTCTCTCTCCTCTTCGCGCCAGCCAGCCATACCTTCCTTCTTCGTCTTCATACAATGGGCCTATTGGGCTTCTCCTCAGACATAATATCGCGGGAAGAAACGGCATAATTTGGCGGGAAGTAACGTGTCTCCATTCTCTCTCTCTCTCCTCTTGGCGCCTTATAAACCCTTCTTCTTAATCTGGCTCCTCCTCTCTCTCTCTCTCTCCTCCACATTCCTTCTCGTTCTCTCTCAATCTGACACTCATTGACTTTGCTGAAAAATGAGTGCACCGGGTTCTTCTAGATCTATCCCGTTCAAATCGAAGAAGCCTCTGATGGATTCGCCGTCTTCGAAACCTCAGACCGGAAACCCTAATCCGTCTTCTGCATCTGTGCCCACGCCCAAGCAGCCGGCGGAGAACATGCTCACCAGATCCAGAAATCGATCTGTTGCTCTATCCGTGAAAGAGATTCGCCAAGCCGCTGGATCTCGTCGCAGATCTGAGGATCCGGTGGGTAAGGTTTCATCCGCCAGGAGCAAGCTCATATTTTCCGATAACGATTCGTCGTCTTCCGCCTCCAAACGTGTATGCACTAATAAGAATGCCGAGAAGGAGCAACTACCGGAGAAGTGAGTCTAATTTCTAGGGTTCTTAAAAAATTTCGATTTTCCCCCCTTTTCTTACGAATTTAACTGATGAGATTTGGATTCATACAGGTACGAGATTCTGGGAAAGTTCTTCGATGCGTTGGATAGTTCGATCCTGTTGTCGAAACTGCGAGGTTCAAAGCCGACATTTTCCAGCATTTCGGCAAAAATCGAACATTTAACCGAAAGGTATTTTTCTGGGATTTAAATTTCAATCCGTGTTCATGCTCAAAGTGATGAAATCTGATCCGAATAGAAAAGCCAAATTTAGGATCTGCCTTTATGCTTTATAGATTAGATGAGACAAAATAATTATTTAGATCTGGGTTTTATTTTTAATTTACAGATCCACCAATAATTCCTGAAGTTTTTAGTCGTTCAAAGTCATTAAATTTCATGAATCTGATTCTGATGTTCTATGAGTTGTGTATCCAGGAGATGTGATTTGAATCTTACCCAACTCATGATTTGAATCTATTACAGGAGGTTTCGTCAGAGTCACTTGGCTCAACTCAAACATATATTGCCAGAGGCAATAGAGATTAAGAGAGTGTTGATACATGATGAAACAACCAGATGCATGAAACCGGATCTTCATGTCACACTCAACGCAGATGCAGTTGAAGATAGCGAGAAGTCTAAATCAGAAAGCAAGAAGATCGCTCTCCGTAAAATCTTCAGGACAAGGCTCGCAGATTTCGTTAAATCTCACCCTCAGGTATCATCCCATGAGAAAAATGCAAACTTTTAATGATTTTGGAAGTTACATTGTATGCTTTTATTCAAGTACTAATGGAGCTTTTCTCTTGTATTTGTTCAGGGTGATGAAGTTCCTGAGGAACCTCTTCCAGAGCTCTACAGTAGAAGGAAACCAAATGATGATTCGAAGGTTGAGGTTAAGAGATTTAGCTCAGTCATGGAAGAGATGGGTTCTATTCCAGCTGCTCAGTTGATTTCGTCTTTCATGAAAGTCCCATCATCTCCAGTCAAAACAGCTCCAAGTTCATCACAAGCTCCAAGCAGAACGATTTCAAGTCCTGCTAAACCAGCTTTGTCTAAGATCAACTTAGCGCCAACTCCAGTCAAATCAGTGTCGACTCCGGCTACTGAACCTTCAACGCCGGCTAAAATCGACTCATCACCAGTTATCGTTGCTTCAACTCCACCTGCATTCGCTTCAACCCCTGTGCGGATGTTCAGTGCGTCGCTGGCTTTTCGTACGGAGAAAAGAAGCATCAGTTGTGCAACTCCAGATGATGTTTCTACGGAGCCACCGGTTAAGCTCGCGAGGCGTTCCTCACTAAGCTCAAGGTCGCTGAAGTTTGATACTTTTACAGAGAGCAAGAGTGGTTTGGATATGACAGATGATGAAGAAGACGTTGATCCAGTACCAGAGGAAGATGTATCCAGCGATGATGAAATCCTCAGCATACTTCCTGATAAACTTCGACAAGCGGTAACACATTTTTTTGCTCTCTTATAAATCACATTTACACTTCTCAGTTTGAGATTGGCTTTGTTTATTGAGTGATTTTACTCATCTTTGTTTTTTGTTCGTTTTCAGATTAAAGAACAAGAGAGGAAAGCTATCGAGGATCAGAATCCAGCTATATCACTGGCCAAGAGAAGGAGAAAGATGATCGCTTGTCTGCCTAAACTTTTCAATGTCATCCATTACTTAATCCAATCAATAAGGCGTTGGGTTATCACAAAAGAAGAGCTTGTCCACAAGATAATCGCCGGTCATTCTGATATAACCGACAGAAGTAAGCCCTCTTAATTTTCTCTTTCTCTATACATTGAAGCTTTTAGCTTTTACAAGACATATCCTAACCATTCTGTTTTTTCATTAATGTTTTATAGGAGAAGTTGAAGAACAGCTTATCTTGTTGCAAGAGCTTGTCCCGGAATGGATCTCTGAGAAGAGATCATCATGTGGAGATCTACTAGTATGGTGAGTCTACTAATAACATCTACATATACATATAAACGCACTTATTTGCTTTTGGATTTTATTGATTGCTCATGGAAACATGTTTAATGTGCAGCATAAACAAATTGGCATCTCCCCTAACAATCCGGTCGTGTCTAGAAGAAGAAAACAAGAAAGCGATGGCTTCACCGCTTTCTTAAGATTGCGTTTTATATCGTTTCCGACTACTTAATGTGCGAGGCGTGTAGAGAGATTACGTAGATTATGATGATTTATGAATTTCCAAATGTGGAAAAGGGTGAAAACTAGTAATTGACAGATTATTTAGGTGTTTTTTAATCTCTTTTCGATTAAATCTATATAAATAAATATTTTGTTTTAATCATTAGTAGATGGATTTTGTATCAGAAAGCTAAACATGTGTCTAATCATGTAATCGGAGATGACAAAATGACAATTTCTCTTCTCTGTTTACAACTTTTCCTTGACTCTTATGATTAGGGCTATTTATTCGGGCCTAAAGGATGGAGCCCTTTTAAACCAAATCTCATTGGGATATTTCATGCTTTTCTTGGGTTAGTTCAATTGGGTTTTGATTTGTATATCAATCCTATTTTCGCTTATGATTTTGTTTCTCGCCAAAACTATTTTGAGCTTTTTTAGATTTTTTAAAGATTTGGGCCGCATAGTAACGGAGTGGCTCGTTTATCAATTATCATATCAAGTCTTTTTATAAATCATCTCCTGATCTTCCGATACAACATTTTAGAATAATAAATATTCCAAATAACCCTCTATTTCCAAGTTCAAAAGAAGTTATACTCTAAATTTGATAAAACAAAAAGTTAGATACTTAGTATAAACCAGAGTATAATGCTAAACAAGACTCTAATACCATGTTAGTAGAACAAGAAGCAGAAGCCATGAAAATGGTAAAACTGTTTTCTGCTATTAATTTTATTCAACTTATCGTCACTGTTGCAAGTCTCTCTGGGTTATATAGAGGTTTACAAGAGATTGGTTTACTCTAAACCGTGACACTAGAATGAGATCACGGGGAACCCGTCCGGGTTAGCATTTGATGATACTGGTTTATACATACTATATTAAGCTAATTAGAATGAGTTTTTGAGTTGAAATTAGAGAACCAGGTTTGGAGGAGCCTTGGGGATCTTTTCCTATGAAAACGGGTGTTAGATTACTAATAAAACGTTACTCATGCAGAAATATTTGAATTTTTATTTATACAATCGCAGTTGTTGACTAATTGCAATTGAAAAAACAGAATATAATTTAAATTTGAATTTATGTTACCTTTCTCTCCCACGGGAACTTATATCACTTGAGTTCTAGATTAGCAATTAATACAAGCTATGTTCACTATTAACAACTAGAGGCCGGTCATCTTTATTGACTCTACTCATCTTATTTGTTACACTTTACTCTGTCCAGTGTTCAGTGCCATCACTGCACATGATTAACATAATACAATTTAATTAAATAAGTGAAATACAAACAAAAATATACCTACAAATAGAGAGCCATATTACTACAGAAAGAAATAAAAAAAATGGAGGATTCCAATGGTAAGCCTTTTATTTTTTGTGCAACATTTTTGGTAAGCTAGGTTATAAAATTCGAGGGTCAATGAGCCCCAAGGGCCCGAATAAAAAAAAATGTCAGAAGAAGAACATTGAACAAGAAAAGAGGAGAAGAAAAAATGGAATTTGTATAGAGAGAGATTGAGTGAGATTTCTTTTTTCTTTATAAGGACAATAATTATTAGATTCCTTAGATCTTCTATGGACCACAACTAGTCGCATCATACATTCTTGAGTCTCATTGTTTTCTTATTTTTTCTCTTTGGAAAAGCCTTTTTTAAATAGTAATAAACTAATATAAAAAATATTATAATAAAGAGATAAGAAGAAATAGATAAATAAAGAAAAGAAAATAGAGTGACCTTTGCCACTCTTTTAAGCAATTTCTGTCCCAGTTCCCTTTTTGGAGAAACTTCAAAACCCTAAGTTTGGAATCCATTTTGCCTCTATTTGTAAGATCCGTTTATTTTCTTTCTGGTACAAATAAGTTTTTATTTTCTTCTTGAAACTATAATTCTAAAAAACGTATTTGCATAAGTTCTGATACTCTAGCTATAACTATATAAATTAATTTAATATAAAAACTGAGAGTCTAATATATTAAAAAGTTCTAGAGAATTTGCTAACATCACGTCATCACATTTAGATTAATAGTCGAAGACAATAATACTTTGTCCATGTATTCTTCTGTAATACGTACAATGGCTTATATATCACGTATCACTATTTTTTAAAAAAAATTCACTATGCCCCCTTTCCATTTTATACTACACTCATATTTTTATAGGGCAGGACCAAATGTATTATCTATGCCAAAAAAAATTGATATTTTTTTCGAATATATAATCCAGCAGTTAATTTATAGTTATAACTACGAGTCTATACGATCGACTTGAAAACGTTCGATGGTTACATGCATCTATACTAAATAAAAGAAACTATTTGGGGCTCCTTAAGCTATCCACCTCAGCTTTTCAAAACTACTCTAAAAATATGACATATCAGCAAAAAATAATAATACAAATTCCCACTTTAGATTTTTTTGAAATATACATAAAGTAAATAAATAGAACCAAAATTAATATAGTTAAATACAAGAGTAAATAAAAATAAAATATTATTTTTTGAATCAATAAAATAAATATTATTTAAATCAATAGCATCAATATATACTCTTTTGTTTGTAATATAACAAATTAACAATAATGAAAATTCTCACTTTAGATTTTTTTGAAATACACATAAAATAAATAAATAAAACCATTAAATTAATATAGTTATTAGCAAAAACTAAATAAAATTATATATCATTTTAATCAGTAAAATAAATATCATTTAAATCTGTAGCATTAATATATACTCATTTTTGTCACTAAAATTAATATAGTTACAAACAAAAGTAAATAAAATTAAAATATCATTTTTTGAATCAGTAAAATAAACATCATTTAAATTTATAGCATCAATATATACTTCTTTTGTTTGTAATATAACAATAATAAAAAATTTTACTTTATATCTTTTGAAATACAAATAAAATAAATAAATAGAACCACTAAGTTAATATAGTTATTAGGAATAAGTAAATAAAACTAAATATCATTTTCGAAATCAGTAAAATAAATATCATTTAAATCTGTAGCATTAATATATATTCCTTTTTGTAATATAGTGAATATATTGGACAAGAAATTGCTCTAAAAAACTTAAATAATAGTAAATAGAAACAAGATTATAAAATAATAATTTCTAAAATAAAATTTAAAACATTTACAAATTATAAAAATCTAAAACATTCACCTTTTAGAAACATAAAGATTAAACATCATAGTACGTTAGATTTATGACAACCAACAAGACAACATAAATTATAGGAAGCTTTTCAAAGCATCTATCTATATGAAGATTTCAATCATCGTTACTATTTACATTGCAGAAAATGATAGACAAAAGAAGAATTTCATGCACTGATATTTATTCAATGTGTGTCTTAGTTGGCTTAAGGTAGTCAAGTTACTACAAGCGATACATGTCAGCGCATGAGTTAAACAGTTAATAAAAAAAATTAAGTTTTAGATGACAGTTAATTTTTATATATATCAAGTTAGTAAATTTTTAAATTAAATAATAATGTATTTTTGAAAAAATAACATACACATTTTTATGTAGAAGAAAATGTCTAAAAAAATCTCTAATTATCCACATCAACAAGATTTCTTATAAACCCAACTTGAATGAAAAACTAATATAGTTTTTTTTACTGGGTTAAGAAACTCCTTTAAAAATAATACAATATATATTATTAGTTTAATTATAAAGGCTCATCAAAATATATATGTGTAGTTTAAGAAAAAATGTTTAAGTTAAATTACAAGCAAAATTTTTTACATCTTTTGAGTTTTGAAAAACTCAACATACTTTATTTAACATAATGAGTTAGTATGAAATTGTATTTTTATATGTATTACTTGCCTTATTCATCTATATTTTTTATAGTTTACGTATACTTCATAGACCAAAAATTGTATTTTCACAATATGATTGTGATTTTTTATATTATGTAAATATTGTTTTTATTTATATAAATCATAGTTATTTTATAGATTTATAAGAGATTAGAACATTGACTGTTGTTTGTATTTGAGATTGCTAATTAAATAAAAACACTACACGAACACAGTTGAAATAAAAATAAAAAAACTAAATTAATTGGAACAATAATAATCAAATTTAGTCAAAACAAAAAATAATTTTAATAATATTTTGAAAGTTAGTAGTGAATAACAGTGAGTTTATATACAAATATTAAGTTTTAGATTAACAGTTAATTTTAGCATATATCAAGTAGGTAATTCTTAAAATTATACCATGATACATTTTTTGAATACATTAAAATATTTTTGATGTATAATCATATCAAAATAATTTTAAAAATTAAATATTATATTTAAAATATTAACTTAAAGTGAAAATAATTTAACTTAGATAATAATCAAATATCTATATAAAAACAATCTGCGCGTAGTGCAGAAACATCCTAATAATTATAATAAACATTAAATTATACATCTGACCATGGATGGGATCTTGCATGGCTTATCGATTACGGACCAACTCATCAAACGCTGTCCCTTAAACATTATTATCATAAGTTATTTTATTTAAAACTCAACTGAAACAATTTTATAGAGGCATGCTTGATCTAATTAATGCCAACTTTCGGAACATATAGAAATCAATTAATATAATTTTCGGTGGAATAGAAAATTATGAACACCCAACAAAAAGTGCACCTATCTCTTTTTTTTTTCATAGACTCTCTAAATTTGTTATTCTGGCAATGCATGCTCTAAAGTCACAGTTGATAGGCAAAATGATATATATTTTTTTGCTAAACAAACCAAATAAATAAATAATTAGTTAGAAAACCAGACAGATAATTGTTTTACGTACGAAATAAAGAAATTCAACAAAACCGATTACTAGTTTACTACTTTATCGTAAAAAAAAAGGAGAGAGCAAAAGCCGATTAGCTAAAGCCATTAACTGGTGATGCAATTTTATGAAAAAAATTTAGACTGAGATATTTTTTGAACTGTTTTAGAATAAGTTTACAATATAGAAACATTTACAATTGAATATAAATGACTAAAGAAATAAAGTAGGAATAAAAAAGAATGATTAACAATGAGGGATAATATATAAATATGTATGCTTAATTGAATTTCAGCTAAAGGAGTAAAAGATAAAAATGATGGAAAGGGGGAAAGGGATGTTGAGTTGGTGCGTTGCATTAGAACACATTGATGGAAACAAGTCATGAGAGCATATAATAAGAGCCCTCTTGATAAAATATAATGAGCAATCAATAGTGAAACATCATCATTTTTATTTTCAAGTGGAACTCAAAATCAGAATAAACGCATTACAAATTACTATAAGAAAATTACTATCACAATAAACGTAAATCTTAATGAACTTATAGAATGATCGACGAAAATCTTGTGAATTGTCAAGATACATAAATTTACAAAGATATTATTCATAGGGAAATACCAACCTCTAATTAATAATATTTATATATATGTATATATATTGTCAAATTTTAATAATATATTTTTAATAAAAAAACTCTAATAAAATCTTCGAACTATATATATGGATTGTTCCAGGCGTCAATTCGAACCAAAAAAATCAAATGCTCATACTCTTAAATCTTCCCATTCAAATAATTTTGATTATTTTAACAAACAATCTGCATTTTGGTTTGGTTTCGTTTTTTTTCTCTTAATTATTTGTTTTTAAAACTGAATCCGAGATGCGTTGGTTTGTGTTCAATCAGCCATAAGTTCTTTTTTTAACATTTAGCAAAAAAGACCTTTCATACATAAGAAAAATTCAATATATGACAGTGATATGGAGTTTTGATGTGAATATATATGATAATCAGTTATGTGATTTTGGTTGATATTTAAAATGGACCTGCAAGCAAAAATAACATAGGCCAGCACATTAGTTATTCAATGGGTATTTACTTTGTCCAGAGATTATTATGGTAAGCAAGACAAAATGAGTGAGTATGAAAAAGGCATTGGATTTTTGTTGACAATACAAAAAGGGAAATAAAAGGAGCAGTATAATTAATCATAATGTGAGAATATGTATGGACAAGTTATAAAGTCCAATATGTTTCAACTTTATATTGGCAAATGAAATCATTTAAAAAAAAATAAAAAGCTGAATATCCACAACTCCATTTTCAAAATGGAATAAAGATTTAAAGTTTTGACACCACCAGGAGTACCTGTTTCAGAAATTTCACCTTACGAATTTAGAAGCAACATAACATCAAAATTACAATCTAAATGATCTAGTCTAAATTTCACAATATTAACTAATTTATGTAAGACTAGTGGTTTGAAAAATTAAGTCTATAGACCAGAATCTGATTTTTATTTTTGACTATAAATAATTGACCACTATAAACGTTTTAAATGAACACAAAGTTAGTATGATTTCAATTCCATCAAATAAAAATCTATGAAAATTAGATTTACAACTAAAGCCATATCCAATTGAAAAATACTTTTCGTTTATTTTTGTAACAAAATTTGTAATAAAAAAAGTTGAATATGTTGATGAATTTGTATACAAACACACCATACAAGTTTGTTTAAAAATGTAATATATTGTTTTTATGAGAATGGAAGGTAAAAAAATATATACATAAGAAGGAAGCAAAAATTCACTTGGTGAATCATTTTGCTGGCCATTAATTACTATTAGAGATCCTATCCTTATTGAAAGTTTTGCACATAAAATCCCATACACTCACACTCAAACACACCATCCCACTACCTCCCTAACATGCGCACACAAGCGCACGATTGATCCCGATCGTTCCTCCCCCGTTGCTAAAATGAGCATGGTGCGTGATTCGCCCGCTTACTCGCTCGATTTCTTCTTCGCCCCTTTAAAAAAAGGAACCTCTTTTCGGTAGCTCTGTCTCGCTTTCTCTCTCTCTCTCTCTCTCTCGCTTTCTCTCACACTCTCTCTCCTCTCGCTTGTTTCCTTTTCCGGCTGATTTCTGGGCTGAGATTGTAAATTTTTCCGAGTGATGCAGATTATGCTGAGATCATCTCTTGAACAGAATCAATGTCTTCTGACATAAGCTAAACTCTCTTCCTTACATACTCTCTCTCTGCTTCCTTTCCTCACTGACTTTCTCCTTCTTCTTCTTCTTTTGCTCTGAATTTCAATTCGTGATTTTTCCGGTGAAAATTATATGGCAGCTCAAGGCAGCAGATCTAGCTCGCTGGTTCCGTTTCAAGCTGTTTGAAATTTTGATTCTTTCGGTGTTTTTCCGAGCTAGGGTTGCTTAATTAGCTTCGTTTTGGGATTTTTTCTTAATCCGATTTCAAGACTTCTCTAGGGAAAGGGATGGGTAAGAGGCAAATTTCACAGGATGAAGTAGGTCCGCCGATAAAACCAAGAGCTGGATTGCGAAGGGAACAAGCTGGAAGAGGTTCATACAGAGGTAGTTAGTAACTTTGTAGCTCATCGAAGTTGAACAAAAGTTTTTTTTTTTTTGGGTTGGGGAAGAAGAAAGTGTACACACGACTGATTTTTGATTTTTCGAACTGATAAAGAATCAAGGGAAAGGGTTTGTTTTTCCCGGAGAGTTTTCATCTCTCTCTCTCTCTCTCTTGATTTTCCGTTCTTGAGCCGGACATTAGAGTTGGGGGGTTTTGGTTTTTGCCGTTTAGAATGGGTTCTACCTCTCAAGAGATTCTGAGGAGCCTTTGCTCTAACACGGAGTGGAAGTATGCTGTGTTCTGGAAACTTAATCATCGATCTCGAATGTGAGTCATCTTAACATTTTCTTCTAGAGGTTGAATTGTGGTAATTGCTAGCTATGTATTCTCCAACTTGTTAGTTTGAAGGAACATACGGAACTTTAGTATGGACTGTTTCTGTAGCTTTTGATTTTTGTGTTCAACTACTTCTTTACAAGTTTAGAGTTTGGTTGACCAGATAGTTTCTCATTTCTGGAGTATTAAACACTTGTAGGGTACTTACCTTGGAGGATGCTTACTATGACAATCATGGGCACAATAACTCAGCGCAAGTTATACCCAAAAACATGCATGGAGGACATCAAGCACATGACCCTCTTGGTTTAGCTGTGGCAAAGATGGCTTATCATGTCTACTCACTAGGGGAAGGGTAAGTATAATTTGCTTGCTGATGCTCTCTTCCTTTCATGGTTATCTCGAAAACGTCAAATGCTGACGTCTTTTTCTCAACCGTGTATGTCAACACTCTGGCATTTGGCAGTTATAGTTTGCATTGCCCATTCGTTGTTTATTTGACATTAGCTACATGATGCTAACCTTTTGTCTTATCTTGGGACTTGATGCCACCATGAGCTTTTACTATTAGCTACAAATCTTGCGTTCCTTGTTGAATTTAATTTACTATGCCAAGATTGATCTTTTCATCATGCCTATATTAACAGGATTGTAGGACAAGTTGCAGTTTCTGGAGAACATCAATGGGTATTCCCTGAATATTATGACAACTGTCAGTCAGCATTTGAGGTGAGTAACTTCTTATCATGACTCGTGAGTTACTTATTTCTTTTAATTCATATGTTGTTAAACCAGATAATCTTTTTCTAATTACAGTTTCATAACATTTGGGAGAGTCAAATGTCTACTGGAATTAAGGTAGTTTTGAGATTTTTCTTTAGTGTTCCTTTTGTCTGCTCTGTTACATGAATGTCAAGAGCTTCCTCAAAGTTTGCCACTAAAGCCTTTCTTTTGATATATGTATATACGTTTTTCCGTCTCCGCAGACCATTCTTGTAGTAGCTGTTGGTACCTGTGGAGTTGTGCAGCTAGGCTCTTTGCATAAGGTAAGTAAGTTCTTATAAATGCATGGCACATATGAACGTACCTGGTCTTACTGTGTGCTTGTGTGGAGCAGGTGGGTGAAGATGTGACGTTGGTGAATCATATCCGACATATGTTTTTGGCACTCAAGGATCCACTGGCAGATCATGCAGCAAATTTAATGCAATGTAATATGAACAATTCGTTGTGTCTGGTAAAGATCTTCTTCATACAAATATGGATTAATATTTGTCCAACTTTCTCGTTATTTGTATAATGTGAAGAGTAGGGTGCTTAGGTTTCTTCTAACAATTCCTCAGACCTCAACCACCTTCCTGAGTATGAACATGATGTGTTGTATAATTTTTGTTGCAGCCAAAAATACCTTCTGAATGTTTACATGTCGAGGCTTTCCCTAAGGATGTGGATGAGTCAAATATTCTAACTCAGTACAAACCTAGAAGAAGTGATAGCATTCCTTATAATACTCCTTCATGTCTTCTCATGGAGAAGGGAGCTCAAGTAACTGATGGTCTGGAAGATGTGCAAGGATCTACTTGTGGGAACTATAGCGGTGTCACGTTTGGCTTTCCAAATGATTTGGTTGATGCCAAACATGATAATCAAGTAGGTACAAATATAATCAGTGATGTACCTCATGTGGGGATGATTAGTGTGTGCAAAGATCCGAGAGGATTAGATCCTATTTTACATCAGTATGTGAAGAATCGTGTGCTCAACAATACAAGCTCATCTTCTTTAGCAACTGAGGCTGAAAGATTGATGACAGGCCAGTCATATCCAGGCCTGGACTCAACTTTTTATGCTTCATCAAGAACAGATAAAGAAAGTTCTTACCAGAATGAGGTGTTCCAACTATCTGAGAACCAAGGAAATAGATACCTAAAAGAGACTGAGCGTACGCTGGAGAGGAAATGCGAGTCAAGTCGATTTGATGATTTGATCTCTTCTGGATATACTTTTGCTGGCAGCGAGCTGCTAGAGGCATTAGGCTCTGCGTTCAGGCCAACGAGCAGCGGTCATGAGGAGCTAGTGAAGTCTGAACATGGTTCAACGTTAAGAGCAACAGATGATATGAGTCATAGCCAGCTCACATTTGACTCTGGCTCTGAGAATCTTCTAGATGCGGTGGTTGCTAACGTAGGTCATAGCAATAGCAATAGCAATGTCAGTGATGATATATTTCCAAGCAGATCGGTACAGTCATTGCTTACCAGCATGGAAATGGCAGAACCCTCAGGGCAAAAGAAGCATATTGTTGTTAACCCAATTGATGTGGCTATGAATCAGCTGCCAGTAGCAGAGGTGGATAACCAACAGAATCCGTCAGATATCTGTGGAGCATTTTCCTCGATTGGGTTCTCATCCACGTGTCCCAGCTCCTCTAGTGATCAGTTTCAGACATCCCTGGAGATGCCCAAGAAGAACAAAAAGAGGGCTAAACCTGGTGAAAGTTCTCGGCCACGCCCAAGAGACAGGCAACTCATTCAGGATAGAATCAAGGAACTGAGAGAACTTGTCCCTAATGGATCTAAGGTGAATTTACTCTTCCTAGCTACAAGTTTACTGGCACCATTGTAGGGTTTAGTGTTTTTAGTTGGATAAAGTTGCCAGTCATTTTGTAGTTTCTGTTTCTAGAAGATTAATAACTTTATAGTTTCCAGTGCTCTTTTTTTTGCTATTTTCTAATAATTTTGTCATATATTACAGTGCAGTATTGATTCTTTGCTAGAACGCACGATCAAGCACATGCTCTTTCTGCAGAATGTTACTAAGCATGCTGATAAGCTCAGTAAGAGTGCTAATACAAAGGTAATAAAAGTCAGTTTCTTTATAGTACTAATCTCTGTTCTATCCTATACATTTTTTTGCAGTCTCCATACTTTTTAAGTAGACGTAGTAGGCTGCTACATTTGAATGATTGATGTAGCAAATGTTGGGTCAGTTTTCTGAATGATTTAAAGAGTAGATAGAATAGGCACATGGAGATATAGAAAAGCTCAACTGAAAATCAGAAGTTTATATTGAAATTAACTTATAAATTTGTGATCTCAGATGCAACAAAAGGAAACTGGCACGCAAGGTTCAAGCTGCGCAGTGGAGGTTGGAGGCCATCTTCAAGTGTGCTCGATTATCGTGGAGAATCTGAACAAGCAGGGGATGGTGCTTATCGAGGTATGCAAATCTTTCTTTCATTTAGTTTTGTCCTTGTTTGAACTTCAATCCCAAGTTCTAAAATCTTAGATGTAACCTGTTTTGGGTTTTTGGACAGATGTTATGTGAAGAATGTAGCCATTTTCTTGAGATAGCAAATGTGATCAGGAGCTTGGATCTCATCATCCTAAGAGGCATCACCGAGGCTCAGGGCGAGAAGACATGGATATGCTTTGTAGTTGAGGTATGGAACCTTTTCCTTTTGGGTTTTTGCTTGAACATTGGATTGCTGTAGATATATGAGTGACTAATATAATGGAGATGGTGATATAAATGGCAGAGCCAGAGCAACAAAGTAATGCAGAGGATGGACATTTTGTGGTCTCTGGTGCAAATATTTCAGCCAAAGGCCAATGGCAAGCGGTAGCAGCAGCGTTGGTTTGGTTGCAAAGACTTTGCGTTTAGATGAGATAAACAGAAAATGCTGTGTGCTTGTACATTGTTGTTGTGACTATGCCATACTTGTTTTGGTTTTTAGGTATCAAAAAATAGTTCTTAAAAGTGTGCCTTTTTGAGTTTTTTTGGTGTGTTTTTTTATGATTTGCATTTTGTTTGCTTTTGAGCTTGGACCTCTTTGATTGAATATATAGTAAAACTTTTATGAATCAATACTTGATAAATGATAAACAGTATTTTATTTATACGACTGTAATCGTTTCTATCAATAATAAACAACTCTTAACATATATGTTTTGAAAACTATATTTTAGGAAAACTACCACAAAAGGGAAAACTCTGAATGCCGGAAAAAGACAAGAGATTAGCTGTTTTGGCCACTTGCTAATTGGAGAAGGATTTCCGCCACCATCATATCCGTCATACTCGTCTCTTCTTCAGCCTCGACAGGAGCCAATGTTCTGTTTTGGTCCGAATCTCTAGTTGTGGCTGGTACACGAACTGTAGCACTTCTCCTCTTCTTTGGAAAGTTAGTAAGCATCGTGAACCTCTCCTCTTGGGCCTTGATGCGGCTAGCTTCTTCACCTATACATAGCTCTTCAGAATCTCTAGTTGCAGCCGGCGCCGGACTTGAAGAGGAAGCTGCGGCTGGAAGTGGAAATGGATCCTGAGCTTGAGTCAAAGCCGAAGCCGGAACGATTTCGAGAGCAAAGAAGAGCTCCTGCTCCCCGCGTTGGGAGTGGAAGGACCAGAGGCGAATAATCTGATCTTTTTTAAACCTGTTGTGGAGGTTGACACAGTTCCATCCAGAATTCAAGACGTAATTGCAACTGGCCTTCATGTCCCACCTCTTGAGGTTAAGCTTCCACTGGTTACCCTTTTGATCCACCAAGTTCACAGGGACTCCGTCTCTACGTGTCTTTCTGAGATGTTGCTCTATGATGGTTTGCTCTGCCTCGTTCAGCAAGTCCATCTCCTCCATTTGGTTGAATGGAATCAAGAGACGAGCTTGTTGTGTATTGAGATCAGTCACCGTAAGACTCTTCTCCGTGATCAGCTTCGCATCCGTAGCGTTCTCTTTTCTCATCCGGTCAACCACCCATTCCGGCATCGCCGCCCTCTCTATTCTGACCGGCTCCACGGAGGAAGAAGCATCTTGGTTTTGTTGACTCTCGTATTCATCAGTCTTTCGTTTTCTTTTTCCCAAGACAGCTTCCGTCGCTACATATGGATCATCCACCTCCATGTTCTCATACGCATTCCCGTGAGAGGAGCCCGATCCCCGGAGGACCTTTCCCTTCTTCTTCAAACCCTTAACCGACTTTCCTTTGACCGAAACCGATGGCTTTACCGGTTCATCGTCGGACTTACTTGAAGAAGAAGAAGCATCGCGGCGGTTAGGGTTTTGTTGACTATCGGACTCATCAGTCGTCTCTCGCTTTCCGAAGAAAGAGTCCGCCGCTACACTTAGTATCGTGTCGATCAAGAATCGGTTTCTTTCTTCTTCTTCGACTCCGCGTCTCGCTCTTGTTTCCTCATCACCATGAGCGGCACGCAACCTCGCCATAAGAATCTCACTCAGCGAACGCTCGCCGCGTTGATCATCATCATCGTATCTCATCATGGTTATCGAAAGTTAGGGTTTTTTTTTGTTTTCGTGCGGCAATGAATCTCAGAGATAACAACAATAAGAAAATAGTAGTGAGGCTGGAAGGGTTGAGTAGCAGTTGCTTATATAGCCGTTGGGTTGACTAACGAAGACCAATTCCTATGTGGACAGTAAAAAGGCAATTCACTATTTCCTTTTTACTTAGTGAAGATAACAATATCGAATCTGTCAAAAAAAAACAAAATCTCCCTCGATTTCCTTTTTGTAAATCCTTATTTGTCTTGTATTCCTATTGGTTGTTTTTTGGTTTTGTTTTCTCGCTAACAAAAATAAATATTTGAAACGGCAAACTAAAAAATAAATAAATTACCGTAATTATGTAGTCCCAATTATATAAAAAAACACATTTTTGCTAATATTCAACTATCTATTCAGAAAAAAACTCGTCACCAAATGTACAATACCAGATCCAAACCCAACAATAGCATCCTTAAGGCCCAACAAGTAAAATTTGACCAAATCAAATTTCGTTTTTCCTCAAAATAAATCAAACAGCCAAATTTTTTTCAATTGGAATATATAGAAGGGAAGAAGCTTCGACCAATCTTCCAGAGTTTTTCTCCATTGACATTCATACAAAATCCTCTCCTCCTCCTTGGAACTTGGAGCAGTTCGGGCGATCGTGGAACGAAAGGAGATTTTCGAGGTTTTTTTTTTCAATTTCGATTTTCTTCTTTGTATCCATCCCTCGATTTCCTCAGTTGAATCTTTTGTTATGCTAGAGTTAGGGTTTGCTATTGTTTCGGGCTGTTCGAGCCTTTTATTGCGGAATTGCTATTTTGATGCTCAATTTGAAATCATCGATGAACGCCCAGGAATTAGATTTGTGCTTATCTAGTCTTCCTCCGACGAAATCTCGTAGAATTTAAATTGATTAGGTTCAGATCTCCAAGGGTATGGATTGGGGGTTAGATTTTGATGTAGGGTCTGTTTGTTTTAGCTGACGCCGATTCAGAAGAAAGAAACCCTAAATTCTCTTTTGTTTGGGGTTTGTCTGCTCTTGTCTGTGTTCTGGGTTAAAAAAATTTCTTTTTGGGTCAATCCATTTTTTAAGGTTAAGTTTCTTCTTCATAATGGTACATGCTTCCAATACATGAGAGACAAGTTAACATTTCCTGTGACTCGCTTACCTCATCTAGAACTAAAACTGCTTTGAGTTATAGGATTGAATTTTTCCTGTGAATCATCTTGGCTTCACTCTGTTCCGTGTGTCTCATACTTTTGTTAAACTTTTGCTTCACGTGAAGGCCTTCAGGGTTTTCTCTGCTTTCTTTCTATTAGTCAGTAAATCTCTGGTTTTGAACCCATTAATCTTTTCAGAAACTACTCGTGTCTGCAGCTTGTATTCTCTATTCCTTATCACTTGATGAGCAACGGTTACATTTTTTGAGTTTCTCATGAGATGTTGGCTTACTGAGTCTACTCTGTTCTTGTTGCTCATGGGATGTTGCCTTTACTGAGTCTAGAGAGCAAAGAAACAAGTATTGAGCAGCCAAAGATTGATCATGTTTTGTTTTTGTTCTCCCAACGCAGATATCAGAAAGCGATATTGAACGATGAGCACGGTGACCAGGCCTTCCTCTTCAGGGACAACCTCTGTCATCTTAGAAAACCCTGTTCCTCAGTCACAACCGACGGAAAGATTAGTGCTTCGGTTGAACAGGAAGAAGAAGAACGTTTCATGGAAAGACGGGACGGTTGATAACGAGTTCATGCAGAAGAAGAGTTCAAAGAAATGCTGTATCTTTCACAAACAGAAGCCCTTTGATGAGGATGACAGCGAAGATGAAGATGACAACCATCACCATGATCATGATCATCATGATCATAACCATCAACACTCGGAATCTGGTGAAGCTTCTTCTTCTAACGATTCTAAACCAGTTGACTAATCAATCAGGTTTTTTTTTTCACATCACTATACAGAGCTATTGAAGCCTTATAATAGATCATGGAATAACATTAATTCGTCTGACGTTTTGGTTTTCATCATCTCTCTCTTACCCTACCTAACCCTGGTTTGGGTTTATAGTATATGTACATGTAATTTGCATATTGCACTGTAATGGGATTGTTCATTGCAAATGTTGAATTTTTAACTACTTGAAAGCTCTATTGAGAATTATGTGAGAGCATCTTCTGGTTTAACAATCAATGTATGTGGGGAACTTTTTCTTGTTTTAAAACAAACAAAATTCAAGAAGGAAACATAAAATCTTATTGTAATTTTTTATGTTAGAACCCTTGTGTGTCACACAGTGTCAGGTTACATTAACTTATGTCATTTTATTCTTAATAAGTATACATTGGTGAGGTTCTTAAGAACCGGTTTTGTAGTTTTATGCTAAAGCTAATTAACCAATTGCTCCTTTGATGTTGGTGACTCCCAAGTTACAATCATTTTAGGTTATCGAATTAGTAAATATACTTTCGGGTAAACTCTTAAATGGACATACATTTTCGAAAAAAGTGGAATTACATTGATAATAATCAATCTCATATAACACAGTAGTAACATACAATTAGAAAAAATTGCAAAACATTGACATTTTTGACAGAGTAGTACTAAGTAACAGCGGTAACTAATTTGGAGTAAACTAATGAACGGGAGGTCTCGGAGGAAGAATCTTCACCTTCAGGGGTTTATTCGATACATTTTAAAATTATGGGAGATTTGATAAAACAAACTTCACTTTCAATGATTTCTTTGTAATAATAACATCTTCCAACTTTTTAGCGGAGGTTTTCTGATTCTCATCCCCATCGGCCTTGTCGCTCTGCCGGCGACATCAGCCATGTTCATCTCTCTTATCAAAAACGGATGCAACAGCAACTCCGAAGCACTTCCCCTGTCTTTAGGTTTTATTGCGAAACACTTCTCCAGAAACTGCGTTGCATCCAACGGCACCGTCTCTGGAATCTCCGGTGCGTTTCCGTCGGCTAAAAGCCCTTGAAGATCATTGAGATTAACCCCAAACCATGGATGTCTACCGGTATACATCTCCAACACGATACAACCCAAGGACCACAAATCTAGGGCTTTCTCGACGGTACCATCGTCGACTGATTCCGGCGACATGTACACAGGGGTCCCCACAAACGGAGAGTCGATTTTCCAACAATCAGATTCTTCCTCTCCGGCCATTAACGACAACCAGAAATCCGCAATCTTCAGTTCATACGAACAATCCCACATATCTTTATCGTAACACGGAAAGAGAAGGAGATTATCCGGTTTAAGGTCGCAGTGGACATAACCGCGATGATGGACCGAGACCAATCCTTGAAGAGTCATCCGAGTGAAGTCTTTGATAACCGAATCAGGCAGCTTTCCGTTGTGTCTGTGGATGAAGTGGATGAAATTGCTCAGAGTACCACCAGCTGCGTATTCCAATGACATCTTGTAGACTCTGTTTCCGTTGTGATTGGTTTCTTGAAGAAGAGTCTTCTCAAGCAATTGGACGATTCTACGACATCCTTTTGAGTTCTGACAGAATTTGAAACTCTCTCTCGATGGTCCAATTATCGGAGACCTTCACGGCGCTGTAAAACGTTGAGCCGTCGGCTTTTATGTTGCTGAAAAGATGGATAGAACCGCACGAACCCTTTCCAAGGAACTTCACGAATTTTGTCTCTGGTTTGTTTCTGCAACGCCGCCTTTTTATCGCCATTGATTTGCTTTGATCAGTGTCTCTGGTTGCTTTCTTATGTAATTCTCTACTGCTATTGCTGTATCAACAAACTTTAGAGAGAGAGCGACGAAATTACTCGAGATTAATAAGAAAGAAAATTGTGATTCGTTGAGGAAAATAGAAATAACGGCGAGTTATGAATCTGCTGAGTAAATTAAATAGGCGCCTCACTTTAATTTGTTGAAGGGAAAAAAGGAAACTTCTATAGAATCATTAAACAAAAAGGAAATTAGCTACATTTATATCAACAAACCGTTGGATAAAGCATTCTATTTTTATGTTATTTTTGTCTTTTTATTCTATTTTTGTTTTTTTACAGAATTTGTTTTTGCCACCAAAATATATTTTTATTTTTTACAAAAATCGAGAAATTGCATTTTCCGACAAATTTATTTTTTTAATTTTTTCATGAAACTGAGAAATCACCTATTCCCGCCAAAACTAAAAAAATTTAATTTTCTCGTTTAAAAATGCATTATCTCCTGAGAAATTGCGTTTCCCGCAAAAACTAAGAAATCACATTTTCCCGCAAAAATCAAGAAATCACATTATCCATCAAAAGCCAAAAATTTGCATTTTCTATCAAAACCGAGAAATCGTATTATTTCGTCAAAATTGAAAAATTGCATTTTCCTCGCATTTTCTCGTCAAAACTAAGATATTTTGTTTTAGCGTCAAAATCGAATTTCTTTTCTCACCAAAACCAAAAATTCACATTTTTCCGCCAAAGCCGAAAATTTGCTTTTTTCCGCCATAACCAAGAAATTATGTTTTTCGACCAAAACTGAAAATTGCATTTTTCCGCCAAACCCAAAAAATTCTCTATTCCCGCGAAACCCAAGAAAATTTTTTCTCGGTAACCTCCGAAAATGCGAATCTCCAAGTTGTGGTGGTCTGAGCTTCTCCTCATTTGCTTTCGATTTTCATTTTTTTGTAAACTTTGGGCTTTTTAATAGATCAGCAAAATAGTAAACTGATTTTATTAGTGTGTTAATGATATGTATTATTGTTATATTTTTATTGGTTTAAATTTTTGCGGATGTGTGTACTTCTTATAATATAATGCTTTTTGCGTTGTTGTTATGGAATCATAATTGATGATGAGTCTACACTTTCTTCAATCATATATGTTTCTATCGAGCAAATACATAGTTAGAAATTTTTATATTTTTTTTTTGCTATTATTTATTATTAGTTTTGGTTTGGCAAAAATATAAAACAAAGATTTAATTTTTTATTTGTTGTTATTTATTATTTGGATTTGAGGATGGTAAAAAATAAAATAATTTTTTTATTTGCTGTTATTTATTATTTGGGCTTGGGTTTGACAAAAAATAAAATAAAGATTAACAAAGAAAAATATTTGAGTTTTTAATGGGTTTAAGTTAAAAATAATAAAAGTTAGTAGATGATATGTATTAATAAAATGTTTTGATTGATGAATATTTTTGCTGAGGTGTCATCTTAAGAAAGCTCCAAAATGCTGAAGTGTCATCTCCAGGAGAGACATTGGTGTTATTGTTGTATTGATTTTGTGTATTTTATGTATATAAGATACTTTGTAGTATTTTGTTGTTCTTAGACATACAATGGAGACATTTTTGATAGGTGTCTTAAAAACAAAACAAAAATATAATTTTCTTTTATAATAAATTTAAGTAAAAACTTATGTTAAAAACTTTTAAAACATAATACATTTTTAAAAATGTAATACATGAAAACACATATTATTATATAAAGTTGGATGCATCAAAGTTAATAATTCACAAGATCGCGACACATGACGATTTAAATCGATCAGATTTGTACATGTGTTATTTAAAATAGTATTCAAAAATTAAAAAGATATATTTAATGAAGAAAAACCAAAACAAGTGTATCTCAATTAAAAATAAAATATATCTCAATTAAAGATAAGATGAACTTCTAATTCTAAAAGAAAAACAAAAACATATTAAAAATAAGATAAACTTCTAATTCTAAAAGAAAAACAAAAACATATTGAAAATAAGATAAACTTCTAATTCTAAAAGAAAAACAAAAACATATATATATATATATATATATATATATATTACGATGTGTTACATGTTTCTTTATACATAATTTAAATTATGGACCCATGCGTAACTAAAATTAATTTATTAATCATATATTAGTCTATTAGTGTTTAAAGTCAATTAATTTCTGGTGTTCAATAAAAATAACTACAAATTTTATAAAAACAAAATAAAAATTACTTAATTTTACAAAATAAAATAAAAAATTATAATCTTAACTTAAATTAATAATTTAAATTAAAAATATTTGCAATGCAAATATCTATATCTAGTAAATTATAAAAGTGCAATTCAGAAACTATAATTAAAAGATCTTATTTTAGGTGTCAGAAACTTTGTCCACTCATATTTTGACACGCGTCCGTTCTTAACTAAAAAAAAAGATTTTATTTTTAGATCCTGGTTTTAAAGTTTAGACTCTCTTTACAATTTTTTTATTCGATTATATTATTAAGACCCCTTCATGAGATCCCTAGAGATGACCATTGGGGTTGGTCTTAAACGCCTTAGACTTTTTTTTTTTTGTAAAATCTACTTTATTTATACTATAATATTCAAGATTATATTTAAAAGTACAAAAAACAATAAAAGTACAAGATTTTGAAAAGGATAATAAACGCCTTAAATCTATATGTTTAGGTCAAGTGTGTTTCTGAAACAAAAGGGAAAAGAAAGACCAAGAGAATGTACCAACATTTAAGATAACATACTCTAATCTCGTTGATTCTTTGTCCTCAAGCAACACACAAGTGAGGAATGTAACAAACATAATTATATAACTCCTTGTAACTTGTGCTTAGGATTCCGAATTAAGTTAAGTGCAAAGAAGAGCAGAGAATAAAAGAAGGTATGATATCTGATCAAAGTTCTTTGAGCCAGAAAGGACCATCTTGAGAGCAATGTAGGACTGATAGCGATGGCTTTCGGTAACACTTTTTGCAGTAACTTGGGTTACACGATTGCCTACATTAGATACAGACTCTATTCTCCACTCCTCAAAGTCTCTTAGGAGGCCAATAATGAACTCCTACTACGGAGTAGAGCCTTACCCAAATGATCTCGAAGCAACCATAAAACACCACAATAAGTTCATATAGTGCATTTATGGTAACTTTGATGTGGTCTTCTCCATAAACTAGTCACCTCTTGATGAAATGATGAGTTTATAGGCATGCATAATCAAACCAGTTTATGTGTGTTCGCACGAGGATTTATATGAAACAAAGGCAGCTGGAAATAAAACTTGACAAAAACATCACTTAGAACAAAAGGACAAAAGGCCACAAATGGACAATATATTATGACTGTAATCGTTTCTATCAATAAACTATAAAGACTATATATGTTTTAAAAGTTTATATATATTTTTTAAAAAACCTACAAAAGGAAAAACTACATTGAATTCTAGAAAAGGACAATAGATTAGCTGTTTTGACCAGAAACTCTACTTGCTAACTGGAGCGGGATCTCCGCCGCCATCGTATCCGTCATTACACTCGTCTCTCTTCAGCCTCGACAAGAGCCATCTCCGTGCACACTTGACCCAATGTTCTGTTTTGGTCCATCCCCTCGACTATGCTTTGGCCGAGGTTATCCGAATCTCTAGTTGTGGCTGGTACACGAACTTTAGCACTTCTCCTTCTCTCTGCAAAGTTGGTAAGCATCCTGTATCTCTCCTCTTGGGCCTTGATGCGACTAGCTTCTTCGCCTATATATAGCTCTTCAGAATCTCCAGTCGTCACAACTGGAGCAAGAGTTGAAGAGGAGGAAGCTGCGGCAGGAACTGGATCCTGAGCTTGAGTCAAAGCCGGGGCTAGAGCACTAGCCGGAGCTGGATGTGGCAGAACGATTTCGAGAGCAAAGAAGAGCTCCTGCTCCCCGCGTTGGGAGTGGAAGGACCAGAGGCGAATGATCTGATCTTTTTTTAACCTGTTGTGGAGGTTGACACTGTTCCATCCAGAATTCAAGACGTAATTGCAACTGGCCTTCATGTCCCACCTCTTGAGGTTAAGCCTCCACTGGTTACCCCTTTGATCCACCAAGTTCACAGGGACTCCGTCTCTACGTGTCTTTCTGAGATGTTGCTCTATGATGTTACTAAGCATGCTGATAAGCTCAGTAAAAGTGCTAATACAAAGGTAAAAGAGTCAGATTCTCTTGATACTACTTATCTCTGCTCTATCCTCCAATATTTATTTTCAAGTCTCCATATTTTATAAGTGGCCATAGGCTATTATGTTAGATTGATTCATTTAGCAAAATGTTGGGTCAATTTTCTGATTCCTTTAATGAGAAGATAGAATGGGCACATGGAGATATAGAAAGCTCAACTGAAAATCAGAAGTTTATATCGAAATTAACTTATAACTTTGTGATCTCAGATGCAACAAAAGGAAACTGGCACGCAAGGTTCAAGCTGCGCAGTGGAGGTTGGAGGCCATCTTCAAGTGTGCTCGATTATCGTGGAGAATCTGAACAAGCAGGGGATGGTGCTTATCGAGGTATGCAAATCTTTCTTTCATTTAGTTTAGTCTTTGTTTGAACTTCAGTCCCAAGTTCCAAAATCTTAGATGTAACCTGTTTTGGGTTTTTGGACAGATGTTATGTGAAGAGTGTAGCCATTTTCTTGAGATAGCAAATGTGATCAGGAGCTTGGATCTCATCATCCTAAGAGGCATCACCGAGGCTCAGGGCGAGAAGACATGGATATGCTTTGTAGTTGAGGTAGGAATCCAGTTCATGGAACTTTTTCCTTTTGGGTTTTTGCTTGAACATTGGATTGCTGTAGATATATGAGTGACTAATATAATGGAGATGGTGATATAAATGGCAGAGCCAGAGCAACAAAGTAATGCAGAGGATGGACATTTTGTGGTCTCTGGTGCAAATATTTCAGCCAAAGGCCAATGGCAAGCGGTAGCAGCAGCGTTGGTTTGGTTGCAAAGACTTTGCGTTTAGATGAGATAAACAGAAAATGCTGTGTGCTTGTACATTGTTGTTGTGACTATGCCATACTTGTTTTGGTTTTTAGGTATCAAAAAATAGTTCTTAAAAGTGTGCCTTTTTGAGTTTTTTTAGTGTGTTTATTTATGATTTGCATTTTGTTTGCTTTTGAGCTTGGACCCCTTTGATTGAATATATAGTAAAACTTTTATGAATCAATACTTGATAAATGATTAACAGTATTTTCTTTGTATTATGACTGTAATCGTGTTTCTATCAATAATACACATATGTTTTGAAAATTTAATTTCAGGAAAAATACCACAAAAGGGAAAAACTACTTTGAATGCCAGAAAAAGAAATTAGATTAGCTGTTTTGGCCACTTGCTAACTGGAGAAGGATTTCCGCCGCCATCATATCCGTCATTACACTCGTCTCTTCTTCAGCCTCGACAGGAGCCATCTCCACCGTGCACACTTGACCCAATGCTCTGTTTTGGTCCATCTCCTCCGTGCACACTTGACCCAATGTTCTGTTTTGGTCCATCTCCTCCGTGCACACTTGACCCAATGTTCTGTTTTGGTCCATCCCCTCGACTATGCTTTGGCCGAGGTTGTCCGAATCTCTGGTTGTGGCTGGTACACGAACGTTAGCACTTCTCCTTCTCTTTGGAAAGTTGGTAAGCATCCTGTACATCTCCTCTTGGGCCTTGATGCGACTAGCTTCTTCACCTATACATAGCTCTTCAGAATTTCCAGTCGTCACAACCGGAGCAAGAGCTGAAGAGGAAGCTGCGGCTGGAACTGGATCCTGAGCTTGAGTCAAAGCCGGAGCTAGAGCCATATCTGGATCTGAAGCCCTAGCTGGATGCCGCGGAACGAGTTCGAGAGCAAAAAAGAGCTCCCCAAGACGGGAGTGGAAGGACCAGAGGCGAATAACCTGGTTTTCTCTAAACCTGTTATCGCGGACGACGCCGTTCCATCCAGAATTCAAGACGTAATTGGAACTTGTCTTCATATCCCATCTCTTGAGGTTCAGCTTCCACTGTTTAAGACTTTTATTATTCATCACCAAGTTCACAGGAACTCCCTTTTTGCTAATCTTGCTGCGGTGTTCCTCTATGATGATTTGCTCTGCCTCGTTCAAGAAGTCCATCTCCTCTATTTGGTTGAATGGAATCAAGAGACGAGCCAGTTGTGTACTGAGATCACTCGCCGTGAGACCCTTCTCGGTGACCATCTTCGCATCCGCAGCGTTCTCTTTTCTCATCCTTTCAACCACCCATTCCGGCATCACCATCCTCTCTATTCTGACCGCCTCTACGGAGGAAAAACTTGAAGAAGAAGCATCATGACTGTTAGGGTTTTGTTGATGACTCTCGTCTTCATCAATCTTTCGTTTTCTTTTTCCCAAGGCAGCTTCCGTCGCTACAGTGTCGGCATATGGATCCACCTCCATGTTCTCATACGCATTCCCGTGAGAGGAGCCCGATCCCCGGAGGACCTTACCTTGCTTCTTTAAACCTTTAACCGACTTTCCTTTCACCAATGGCTTTATTTTACTAACCGGTTCCTCGTCGGGACTCGTGGACTCTACGGAGGACTTACTTGAAGAAGAAGAAGCATCGCGGCGGTTAGGGTTTTGTTGACTATCGGACTCATCAGTCTCTCGCTTTCCGAAGAAAGAGTCCGCCGCTACACTTAGTATCGTGTCGATCAAGAATCGGTTTCTTTCTTCTTCTTCGACTCCGCGTCTCGCTCTTGTTTCCTCATCACCATGAGCGGCACGCAACCTCGCCATAAGAATCTCACGCAGCGAACGCTCACCGCGTTGATCATCACCATCATCGTCTCTCAACATGGTTATCGAAAGTTAGGTTTTATTTTTGTTTTCGTGCGGCAACGAATCTCGGAGATAACAACAATAAGAAAATAGTAGTGAGGCTGAAAGGGTTTTGTAGCAGTTGCTTATATAGACCTCTGGTTGACTCACGAAGACCTTTTCCTATGCGGACTGTAAAAAGGCAATTCTCTATTTCCTTTTTCCTTTTTACTTAGCGAAGATAATATTATCGAATCTGTAAAAAAAACTGCCTCTATCATGTTAAAAAAAAAAAAAAAACAAAATCTGCCTCGATTTCCTTTTTTTTGTAAATCCGTATTTATTTTGTAGTGTATTCCTATTGGTTGTTTTTTATTTTGTTTTCTCGCTAACAAAATAAATATTTTTTAACACAAATTATGAGTCTCTCAGAAGATCCTATGATCATAAGTCCACGTATATCACTCTGCTGGCAGAAAAGTCAACGTATCACTACCAGATTCTCGGAAAACTAAAAAAAAAAACGGAGCACAATATATTAATTTTCCAAAAAATGTCTATTTGACAACTTTGTTCTAAGTCTTGATCCCAATCAATTAAACAGAGTTTTTTTTTCTTGGTAAAGAACTAAACTGGGAAAACTCTAATGTAATATTATAAATACATTACCGTAATTATGCAGTCCCAATTATATAAAAGCCACATTTTTGCTAGTATTCAACTATTTGATCATCTAAGGTAAGTTGTAAGTTGTGTGTACGTTTGCACTCTCGTCATATGACAAAAAATACTGTTGACAAAAAATAACACTGTTTTGCTCTTTGATTCCGCTGAAGACAAATAAGAAACAAGCACACATTTGCATATAAAGTAGATATGTTCACGTAATGAGCATACTTTGTGTCAACTCGTTTTGATGAATGTTGAACATACCTGACATTATTAACAATATATGTTGCTGCAAGAAGATTCAAATGCAAAACAGACGTTCAGAGATTACAACTCACAATTTACTTTTTAAGAATTGCACCTATTCTAATTGTGATTTGATGATTTTAATGGAAAAATATAGTTTTGATAGAAAATTTTGGTTTTATAGTTTTGGTGGAAAAGATAGTTGTATGGTTTTCGGTTTTTGGCAGAAAGACACGATTTTGCGTTATACTACGAAAAACATCATTTTGTGGTTTTTTAATAGAAAATCAAATTTATAATTTTTATGAAAAATTATAATTTTTTAATTTTTAATTTAGCAATTTTAGAATAAATATAAGTTTAGTTAGATTTTTTCAATTATATTAAGGTATATTTTGGTTTTTTGGTTTTTGAAATGTAAATACTACATTTAAACTCTACTTTTTTTAGCATTTCAAATATTTAGATTTTTAAAATATTTTAAATTTTATATCCAAATGTAATATTCAAATATTGATTTAAAAGTGTTCCCGCGCAAAAAAAAAAAACGAAGGTCTTCATTTTGACCATCACCACCAATTTGTAGCTCAAGACGTTGGTACCAGAAAAGGCTTTCACCAAATGTACAACACCATTTCTCTAAACCCAACAAAGCAACTATAAAGGCCCAGCAAGTAAAAATTGACCAAATCAAATTTCATTTTCCTAAAAAAATAAATTAAACAGTCAAATTTTCAATTGGAAAATAGAAGGGGAAGCTTCGACCGACGACGACAATTCATAGACCAAGCCTCCCTTCCTCCTCCTTGGAACTTGGAGCAGCAGTTCGGGCGATCGTGGACCAAAAAGGGATCTTTCGAGGTTTTTAGGATTCGATTTTCTTCCCTCGATTTCTTCTATTGAATCATCTTTTGTTGTGGTTTGCTATTGTTTCGGGCTGTTCGAGAGATATATCTTTTTTATTGCAGAATTGCTATTTTGATGCTCAATTTGAAATCATCGATGAACGTGCAGGAATTATATTAGATTTGTGCTTATATTGTCTTTCTCGGACGAAATCTCGTGGAATTTCAAGTGATTAAGTGTATGAATTTGGGGGTTAGATATAAAATTTTCTTCTGTTTGGGGTTTGTCTGCTCTTGTCTGTGTTGTGCGTTAAAAGAATTTTTTCTTGAGCTTCTTCATAATGCTACATGTTTCCAATACATGAGAGACAAGTTAACACTTCCTGTGACTCGCTTACCTCATCTAGAACTAAAACATGAGTGACAAGTTAACACTTCCTTTGAGTTATAGGATTGGATTTTTTCATGTGAATCATCTTTGGCTTCACTCTGTTCCATGTGTCTCATACGTTTTTGCTTCATGTGAAGGCCTCGCGGGATTTCTCTGCTTTCTTTCTATTAGTCAGTAAATCTCTGATCTTGAACCCATTAATACTCGTTTTTGCAGCTTGTATTCTCTATTCCTTATCACTTGATGAGCAACTGTTGCATTTTTTTTGAGTTTTACTGAGTCTTCTCTGTTCTTGTTGCTCATGGGATGTTGCCTTTACTGAGTCTAGAGAGCAAAGAAACAAGTATTGAGCAGCCAATGATTGATCATTTTTTTTTGCTTCTCCCAACGCAGATACCGGAAAGCGATATTGAACGATGAGCACAGCGACCAGGCCTTCCTCTTCAGCGACAACCTCTGTCATCTTAGAAAACCCTGTTCCTCAGTCACAGCCGACGGAAAGGTTAGTGCTTCGGTTGAACAGGAAGAAGAAGAACGTTTCATGGAAAGACGGGACGGTTGATAACGAGTTCATGCAGAAGAAGAGTTCAAAGAAATGCTGTATCTTCCACAAACAGAAGCCCTTTGATGAGGATGACAGCGAAGACGATGATGACAACCATCACCATGATCATGATCATAACCATCAACACTCGGAATCTGGTGAAGCCTCTTCTTCTAACGATTCTAAACCAGTTGACTAATCAATCAGGTTTCTTTTCCCCCCGTTCACATCACTATATGGAGATAACGAGTTCATGAAGAAGAAGAGTTCAAAGAACTGTTGTATCTTCCACAAATAGAAGCCCTTTGATGACAGCGAAGATGATGATGGCCACCATCACCATGATCATGGTCATGAACACTCGGAATCTGGTGAGGCCTCTTCTTCTAACGGTTCTAAACCAGTTGACTAATCAAGTGCGTTCGGGTTTTTTCACATCACCATGTAGAGATATTGAAGCCTTTTAATAGATCATGGAAGAACACTAATTCGTCTGAGTTTTTGGTTTCCATCATCTCCCTCTCTTCTCCTACCTAACTAAACCTGCTTGGGGGTTTATAGTATATGTACATGTAATTTACACATTGCACTGTAATGGCATTATTTATTGCGAATGTTGATTTTTTAACTACTTGAAAGCTCTTTTGACAATTATGTGATTGTGAGAGCATTTCTCAGATGATGGTTTAAAAATCAATGTACGTGGGGAACTCTCTTCTTTTTTATTAGAGCCCTGTGGAAAATGAGTCGGGTTACATAAATTTATGTCATTTTATTCATATAAATACATTGGTTATTTTACCACTTAGTTGTATAATGCATTCCCATTCGCAAGTTACAATCATTTTGGGTTATCGAATTAGTAGATACTTTGTGTTAAACTTTTAACTGGACATAACACAGTAGAAACATCGACATTGATATCAATCAATTTCATATAACACAGTAGCATACAATTAGAATATTTTTTGCAAAACATCAACATTTTTGACAGAGTAGTACTAAGTAACAGCCGTAACTAATTTGCAGCAAACTAATGAACGGGAACAAAACTGGATTTTGGGGGTCTCGGAGGAAGAATCTTCAGCTTCAGGGGTTTATTTGATACCTTTTTAAACTGAGGGAGATTAGATGAAACAAACTTCACTTTCAATGGCTTCTTTGTAATAATAACATCTTCGAATCTCATCGGAGGTTTTCTGGTTCTCAGCCCCATCCGCCTCGTCTCTCCGCCGGCGACATCAGCCATCTTCACCTCTCCGATCAAAAACGGATGCAGCAGCAACTCCGAAGCACTTCCCCTCTCCTTAGGTTCAATTGAGAAACACTTCTCCAGAAACTGCCTTGCACCCAACGGCACCGTCTCTGGAATCTCCGGCGCTTTTCCGTCGGCTAAAAACCCTTGAAGATCATTGACATTAACCCCAAACCACGGATGCTTCCCGGTATACATCTCCAACACTATGCAACCCAAGGACCACAAATCTAGGGCTTTCTCGACGGTGCCGTCGTCGACTGATTCCGGCGACATGTACACAGGGGTCCCCACAAACGGCGAGTCGATTTCCCAGCAATCAGATTCCTCTTCTCCGGCCTTCAACGACAACCCGAAATCCGCAATCTTCAGTTCGTACGAGCAATCCCACGTTTCCTTATCGTAATGCGGAAAGAGAAGGAGATTATCCGGTTTAAGGTCGCAATGGACATAACCGCGATGATGAACCGAGACCAATCCTTGAAGAATCATCCGAGTGAAGTCTTTGATAACCGGATCCGATAAGTTTCTGTTTCTTTGGATGAAATTGCTCAGAGTACCAGCAGCTGCGTACTCCATCGGCATCTTGTAGACTCTGTTTCCGTTGTGATCGGTTTCTTGAACAAGAGTCTTCTCAAACAGTTGGACGATTCTACGACATCCCTTGAGTTCCGTCAGAATTCGAAACTCTCTCTCGATGGTCCAATCATCGGAAACCTTCACGGCGCTGTAAAACGATGAGCCGTCGGCTTTTGTGTTGCTGAAAAGATGGATGGAACCGTAGGAACCCTTTCCTAAAAACTTGACGAATTTCATCTCTGCAGGTTTGTGTCTGCAACGCCGCATATTTTTTTGTTTTTTTCACTTCTCTGGTTGCTTTCTTATGTGATTTTCTAGTGCTGTTGTTGTATCAACAAAAGAGAGAGAGAGAGAGGCGAAATTACTCGAGATTAAGAGGAAAGAATATGAAAACCCTAATTTGTTGATCGGAGGACTCGTACGTGTTTTGTTGAGAAAAAAAGGAAATAGCGAATTATGAATCTGCAGAGTAAATTAAATAGGCGCCTCACTGTAATTTGTTGAAGGGAAAAGAAAAGGAAACTTCTGTAGAATCATTAAACGAAAACGAAAAGATTTTTGTTTTTTCTTAACGGAACCTTGTTTTTGCCACAGAGAGATATAAAATGTTGGGTTAGACGCCTTAAACCTTAACGGATTTTCTTTTATTGGGATTTATTGAGATTTTCTTTTGTTTTGATGCTAAGCAATTATATATATTGTGATTTGGTCAAGTTCTACTTGATCTATAAGTCAGGTGATTAAATGGGGCTTAAAGTACCGTATGTTGTGTACATCAACATAATGTATGTTTTTCTTTGTTTTTGACATCAAAGTGTTGTTGTTACACCACAAATTGCAATGCCTTAAAAACTCATAATCTTATCAAGAGAGACTAGGTTATTATAATTACTAGGTAAATAATCCGCGCTTTCGCGCAGAAATTTATTTTTTAATAATTATTTTATATAACTGATATTTTAAGAATATGCATAAAATAGTTAAATCAATAAATTTATATTTAAATATATTTATTTAATAAGTTAAAAAGATAATTAATAATAACATAAACATTTAGAAAACAATCTATATCAAATATATGATTGCAAGGTAGTTTCAGAAGAATTTATTTATCAATAAAATGTTCTTCGCAAATCACGCACATATATTATTAGTATGTTTTCCTTCATTCTTTGTTTCTATAAAAAATGTTATTATTTCCGATTAGATAATTACATTTTCAATAGAAGGTTTTGGTACAACAGTTCATTAATCAAAAAGCTTTTTAATTGTTTGTTGCTTTCAAGTATCCTCGTAAGTGACATCTTAGTGAATGAATATGTAATGTTAATAATAGTGTCATGATTTTTGAATGAGAATAATCACTAAATTCAATCACTTCACAAGCCCTAAGTATAACATTCATTAGAATCATGTTTACCTCTTCAAATTCAATTCCTTCACTTATCAAAGAATTATTAAAATCTTTTTTTATATGTAGACCTCTCTTCAGATATAAAATTAACGTCAGTAAAAGTAAATAACTTTAATATTGGTAATTGAAACTAAATTGTTGTATAACTTGACAATTATAATGATTGTTTCACCACACTCACTTTTTAACAGTTCGTTCAATCTAACGCTATAGGAAGAAAAAGTTATATTTTTTTTAAAAAAAAATGAAACCAGTAAATATGAGTGTTACCAAAGAGTGAAAATATATTATTTCTAATTTATTAAGTATACAAATATAAATGCTCTTTAAGTAAATAAAGCAACTGTTGACTTAAATAATCTTTAAAAGAGAAAATTTACGTCCTTTTAAAATATGTCTATTCATTTAAAAATGGTTGATTTTTTTCCTATAAATGTTGGAATAATTTTTAATTATTATCAACATATTTGTATCCTGCTAAATATATATCTTAACGTTTCTGTAAATGAAAAATAAAGATTTGTTGTCGAATATTTATATTGCTTTCTCTATTGTAGTTTCAATGCATTTAAGTATTGTTATTTGCTACGATGTAGTTCCAAAACTCTAAATTTAAAAAAAAAAAATGTTTGAAAAAGAAATAATTGCCATCTGATTTTATGTGGACCTGTTTTTGAGCAGGTTCCCAATTGGGATGCTTAAGGTACTGAATATTATTTAATACTTTTTCTAAACATTATTTTTTTTAGCCTTGATAAAATTTTAAACTTTTTAAATAAATGACCTTAGATAATACAACATATATTTGTCTATGACTAAAAGCTGGTCTAAGAAGATATAAACCCACCCTCATTCTATGTGCCTTTTTATTAACGTTCACAACATCAGATTTAACTGATTTTTTTTTCTTTAGTTTTAAACAATATAAATAAATTTGAAAAGATAAAAAATTACAGTTATAATCAAAATATAACTATTTATAAAATATAATAATTTATAATAAAAAGACATAATCAACACAACAATAATCCATAAGTCTTTTCATGGCTTCACACATCAGCATTTTCAAACTTTTAGGAGATGACACTTCAGCAAAAAAAAAACACCAATAAAAATATTTTATTAATACAAGTCATCAATATATTTAACTTTTATTTTTTTGCCAAACCTAAATAATAAATAACAACAAATAGTAAAATTAAATCTTTGTTTTATATTTTTGCCAAACCGAAATTCAAATAATAAATAACAGCAAACAAAATTAAAATTTATTCCTATGTGTTTGCTTAATAGATACATATATGATTGAAGAAAGTGTAGAATCATCATCAACTATGCTTCCATAACAACAATGCAAAAAATGTTATGTTATAAAAAGCTCACACATCAGCAAAAATTTGAACCAATAAAAACATAACAATAATACATATTATTAACACACTAATAAAATCAATTTACTATTTTGCTGACCCATTAAAAAGCCTAAAGTTTACAAAAAAATGGAAAGCGTAAGCAAATGAGGAGAAACTCAGACCACCACAGCTTGGAGATTCGCATTTCCACTGGTTACCGAGAACAAATTTTCTTGGGTTTGGCGGAAATAGAGAATTTCTTGGTTTTGGTAGAAAAATGTGATTTTCAGTTTTGGTAGGAAAACATAGTTTCTCGGTTATGGCGGAAAAAAACGAATTATCGGGTTTGGCGGAAAATGTGAATTTTTGGTTTTGGTGAGAAATAAAAATTTTGATTTTGACGAGAACATGTGAGGGAAATGCAACTTTTCAATTTTGACGAAAATAGGATTTCTCGGTTTTGATAGAAAATATAATTTTTCGGCTTTTGATGGATAATGTAATTTCTTGATTTTTGCGAAAAAATTATAATTTGACAATTTTGGCAGAAAGTACAATTTTTCGGGTTGATAGAAAAGCAAAATTTCTCGATTTTGGTTGGAATAAACAATTTCTTGGTTTTGATGTGAAATGCAAATTTTCAGTTTTTGACATATAATTTGATTTTTTTGGTTTTCGAGGGAAAATATGATTTCTTAGTTTTTGCGGGAAACGCAATTTCTCATGAGATAATATAATTTTTGGTTTTCGCAGAAAATTGTAGTTTATCGGTTTTGGTAGGAAGACGTGATTCTTGATTTGACGAGAAAAATAATTTTATCTTGTTTTGGTGGGAATAGACGATTTTTGCGGAAAATATATTTTTGGTTTTGACGGGAAAATACTATTTTTTTGTTTTTGCAGGAAGATGAAATTTTTTGATTTTGTTTTGGTAGGAAAATGAAATTTCAGGTTTGACGAGAAAATGAATTTTTTTTGGTTTTGGCGGGAATAGACGATTTCTCAGTTTTGTGAAAAAATATTTTTTTTTTGTTTTGTCGGAAAATGCAATTTCTCAGTTTTTGTAAAATGATAAAATTTCTCTGTGCTAATTTTCAAAATCACAATATGTTTATAGTAACCAAAATTAAATTATTTAACTTCAACTAAATTGATATTTTAACAGTTCAAATAGAACTTTCTATTTAGTTCTAAAGTAATAGTAATGATTTTGATATGAAAGTTATTGATTATAGTTTGGTAGTTTCAGAAACATATGTCTATAATAAATATTTGATAAACAAATAAATTTTATAGTTTAAAATAATCATATTAATTAATATTTTTTAAATGGCAATTTGCTTTATATAATTTCAAAAGAGGATCAAATAGCAATTTAGTAGAGAAAATAAATTACATTTACCATTAGCATGAAGGTACTTAAAAATGTATTGCTTTATTCTTACATATACATTTATAGATAGTTAGCTAAACAAATTTGATAATAGATTATAATTTCAAAAAATTAAAAAATTAATAATATATAATGTTTATTCTGATTTAAAACATATACATACATAACTTAAGTTAATAAAAAATAAATATAATACTCATTTATATTATAGAAATAATTTTATTATTTTAAAAATATATACAAATCTAGAAAAAATATTCTGCAGCGTAGCGCGGATAAATATCTAGTCATTTATAATAAAAAGATGTAACTACAACTTTTAAAATGTTACAACTTATTACTTTTGGATAGAAATCGATATATAAAAATGATATAATTTCAGACATTTTACAAATTTTAATATATATAATAAGAATACTTACCGTCTTGGCAATTAGTTTATGCAAGAACAACGGAGTTGAAGATTTCAAAGCACAATGACAAATTAAATAGATGATCCATTGAGAAAGTTGGAGATGGTTTGTTACAGGTATATATATACATACATATTGATAAAAGAGATAATTTGTATATTAATAAAGAAAATTATAATTATATATCTAACCTAAATAAAATGACCCATGTCTCTTTGCTTCTCTTCCATTAACATCAACAAAACTTTCTCAAACCTTTTTTAAAGTTGCATGCAGTGACTAGATTTTTTTATCATAATAAGGATAAATATTAAATATTTTTTCAAGATGAATAACAATATTAAATATTTTCTATGTTTTTAAAATTTTGTTTCATACATATTTTTTTTGGAAAATGATTATATTTCAGATTTTCTGTTATTATTTTTATTTTCAGAAAACCATCTAGATAATCTACATTTATGATAAATCATTATAGTAAAAAAGTAAAAATCAAACCTAAATGAATTTTTAATATGATTTTGAGTAGTATCAATAATTTAAAAATGATACAAATTACAGTTGTGATGAAAAAATACAAAAATTTATAATGAAAAAACACAATTATTTATAATGAAAAGGCGCTACTCACAACGGATGAAAAAACACAACTATTTATAAGGAAAAGACGCAACCACAAATTTTGAAACGATAAAATTTGTGAAAATGTAAATGGCATTTATTTGGATTATTATACATTAAAACAAATAAAAATGATATGGTTACTATAAGGTAGTTTATTAATTTTTATAATATCGTAAGATAAATGAAAGCTATAATACCGTAAGATATAAAATATTTACTAATGAATTGAAATTCGCATTTGGTATGGAGATATGAAATTAAACGTACCACACTTGAAATCCTTCTTGGCTTCCCTCACCAATAATTCCAGTTTGAGTCACCTGCTGCATCAATGAAGAAAAAACAATCAAATAAAGCCAACCATGAACCAAGTTATACATATTGGGTGTGACACAAGACTGCTCAACGAAAATCTTGTTCATGGTTATGTGTATGCTTAATAGATGATTCTGACACCATACGGTAAAAGAAAAAGCTAGCTTTGCTTTTTTAGATGTATTGTTTATGCTATTTACCTACTCCCTTCTGGTTTCAACTTGCCCTGAAAGGCTTTCATGTATGTTAGATTCATCTCATATTTACTTCGATGTAGATCCGTATTGATTTTCTTCTTAGACAGGATCTTCCGGTTGAATTGTAGCTTCGGCGGTGAGGGATGCAAATTTTTCTGTTTAGTGTTTTTTATTGGTATCATAAATTTAAATAATAAAAATTAGAATCAGACAAAAATGTATTTTTATGTAATTTTAAGCAATATAAATAAATTTGAAAAAATATAAATTTTAGTTGTGCTGAAAAAACACAACTATTTATAATGAAAAAATGCAACTATTTATAATAAAAAGATACAACCATAAATTTTTTAAAATTACTATCTTTTGAATCTTTTGTTTATGTGTCTTCCTTAAATCCTATAAGACACCAATTCTCTTCATTGGCTTCAACAGGAGCCATGACTGTCTTATAATCATTTGTCGGGAAGCCATTTTATCATTGTAATAATTCCAAAATGCATTCCATAATGTTAATGGTTCTGTAACTTCATTATGATATACTAATTTGACAAACAATTTACACAATTGATTTGGTGTAGCAGTAAATGATGCTTCTTTCATAGCCACATATCATTCGTCATTATTGCTAATTAGGTTATTTGTCACACATGCATCTGTCCAAGTTTTAAGACCTTTGTCCCATACATATTTTTTGGTTAATTGATTGTATGATAGATTTTTTGTTACTTTATCTTCTTTATTTATGGCAAACCAGTGAGAGAACATGATTATATTTTACGGAAATGTATAACGAATAGTTTTTTTTTTTAATGTTATCAAGCAATATAAATAGATTTTAGAAGACACACGTACTCTCCCTCTCTCTCTAGTGGTGATTGTACGGAGCCGGCGTCGGCTGTACTCTTCTTTTTCTGTTCTTAATTTAGTTGAAACCATGTTTCCTCTTTCTCTTTTAAGAGAATGTTTTATGTGCGATTCTCGCATTTGCTTTCTCTTCCTCCGGAAGAGCATTGTCCGATGGTTATTTCATGATCTTTCTGGGTTAATTCTGTCGGTGTTAGTCCGTTTGAGTAAAATATCAGACGATTGGTTGAAATTATCCTTTTTGGATGAATTCAAAATCTTTAAACCGCCTTGGGATCTCATTTTTCTGTGTGTTTCCCAGAATTATTCCTTCAGTTTTTGTCTACGATCCTTATCTACTGGAAGTGATACAATACAACATCACTTCCAAGTCACTAATCTGGGGGCAAACGATGTAATGAGTACTTTTCAAATTGATTGTGTCTTCACTACTGATCCAGGTTTTTTCTCGCTGAACTCTTTATGTGATATATGTTTCTGGAGAAATCTCAGTTTTCACAAGAAGGATAATATATTCATTATTATCTCAACGGAGAACAACCGCATGAAGTCATCAACAACTTGTCTGGAAAACAAAGTGAATGAGATGAATCTTGTTCATTATTGGGCACGAACTTTGGATGGGTCAAAGTCACAGTTTTCTCCATTGACATTGATACGAAATGTTTGGTAACAATTTATCTATTTTTCAGAACTATCAACAAAAGCAATGGATTTATTAATGCGATGTGCAAGTAGAAGTCTCGATGAAGAAAGAAAGACTACGCACAACATCCGCATAAGAAGATCGATTATCAATAAGGAACTTAACAGATTTAATCATCTGTTTGCGAGTAAGACCTCAGTAAAAAACATCGTCAATTCATTTATTTCTTTTAATCATCTTCAGCATATATCTGATGTAATATTTTGCTTTTGAAATTACTGTAATGACTTTGTAATGTTTTGCTATTAATGAATGAGTTTTGACAAAAAAAAAAATAGAAGACACACGTACCTAAAATACGCGATTGTTAGTGAAAAGAGAGTAATTAAACGTTGCAACTTTTGAAGGTGTTTAAAATTTCTAATTTATATTTATTGGTTTTGTATAACATATTTTCTACTTTAAGAGTAAAATCAAGATGGTTTCAGAGAACGAAGAAGATTCAGAAATAATTTTTTTTTTCCAAACTATTTGAAAATATACATACTTTTAATTTGAAGAAATTCTTTTAGTTAAAAGATTTTTGGAAAGTAAAAAATTGAAAAATCATAAAAACAAAACAAAGGGAAGGAAGAGAGAATATACGTGTTTGGTAATGATGTTGCTGTGAAAGTGTTCATCATCTTTGAACAACGTATCCGATCTTTACGATGAATCCAAAGACTAACCAAGCTCAAACCCCTTCCCTCACTTGTTCCTATTTGTCTCTAAGCAAACCCTAATTTTGGTCCCGTATTATTTTTCTTTTCTTCTCTAGTACTCATATTTTATATTTGTAGCTAGGTCCTCACTAAAAAAAACAGAAAATTGCAAAAAAAGGATACTTTTAGTATTACCCTCAATAATAAAAATAGAAAATTCAAAGAAATATACATATTGCTGCCTTCTAATGAAAAAAAATCCTCAGAGATTTTAAAATGGATCTGGTGATACTTGAGAGATTTCGTTAGGTTGTGTAATATGTATAATATAATGTTTAAAGACAACACAATCTTCAGTCGATGGGGAAAGTTATAGTCCGCTATGATATTTACTCATTTCACGACACAACAATCATAGAACAAAAACCATTTTGATTTCGGTTTATAGATCATCGATCTATATATCTTTGAGAGATTTGATGGTATCAGTTTTGTGAAAGCTAATATCATAAACAAACTGTATAATTGTTTTACTTTTTTATTGCCACATAACATTTTTTATAATTATTAACTAATTTTTTGATGTAGATATATCTTCAAAACTACTCTGAATTTTATATTTTTTTGCAAAACAAACATAAACCATTACAGTAAGAAAGTAAATATCAGATCCAAATGATTTTAGTTTTTGGTTCTGAGCAATCTAAATAATTTTGAAAAGATACAATGAAAAATTGCAACTATTTAGAATGAAAAGACGCAACCATTTATAATGAAATGATGCAACCACCAATTTTGAAATGACACAACTTTTCGAAAGTTCAATTGGCATTTTTTGAGATTGTTATTATAGATAGATATGGGGCTTACATCATTTATTAGCTAAAGTACTTCTATAATGTATGATTTAAGCCACATTTAACTTCTATAATGTATGTCTTTTCCATAAACTAGTCTCTCTTGATAAGATTATGAGTTTTTGAGGCATTGCAAAAAAAAAAAAAAAAAAAAATCAGTTTTGTTGGTAATCACTCATTCCTCTGCTTCTTCTTTTCCTTTTGAAACATTTGATAAAAATTATTTTTTCAATAGAAGTTAAATGAATAAATCAAGCATGAAGAAATGAAATCCAGTAACATAGCTTTTCATTGTGTTTGCCATTGATTTTTTAGAACAAAGTCACATAATACATTGACCAATGCAACTTCAAAATCAGTGATAATATACCAAAAAAACTGTTACATAATTCTTTAACTAATCAAATAAAACTTGAACTGATAAAAGAACGAGATTAGGCATCAACTTCAATTTCACGAGTCCTACACACAAATACTCCTAATCTCCGAAAGCCTCTGTCTGATTTTCTCTAATTCCGGAACGACTTTCCTCGTACCACCACCAGTCTTCACATTCACTAGAGGCTCTGTGACCTCTCCACGCAAGAAGGTATGCCTCAACAATGTCGACGCATCTTTTCTGTCTTCTACGTCAAGGGCGAAGCAAGTCATGATAAAGAGCTTTGCATCACAAGGAAGATCACGCGGAATCAGCGGCTCGTGACAGTTCTTGAGATCCTCCAAGTCGTAGTTTTTATGCCACCACGGTTTCTTCCCAGTGTACATCTCCAAGACGACACATCCCAACGACCATAAATCAAGTCCTCTCCCTGTCTCGCCGTGAGAAATCGATTTCGGTGACATATAGATCGGTGTTCCGGCAAACGGACGGCGAGGCTTCCACCAGCTACGGTCGCCGTCTCTTCTCGACAACCCGAAATCTGAGATCTTCAACTCGTGAGATGAACTCCACGCACCGTTCTTGTTGACAGAACAGCTCGGGAAAACGAGGATGTTCCCTGGTTTGAGATCGCAGTGAACATAGCCGTTTCGGTGAATCGTGGCTAAGCCTTCGAGAAGCATACGAGTAAACTCTCTGATCAAAGAATCAGGCAACTTTCTGTCTTTGAATTGGTTCATGAAACTCCTCAAGCTCCCTCCAGGCGCGTACTCCATGTAAATCTAGTACTCTACGCGACCTTCGTGGACGTTGAGTGTCTCTTGCACTTTGGTCCCGTAGCACTGGACGATTCTCGGACACCCTTTGAATTTAGACAAGATTCGATACTCTCTGTAGAGAGACTCGGCGTGTTTATCGTCGGAGGTTTTCGCGGCGGCGTAAAGGGTCTTGCTGTCGCGTCTTCCTTTGTACTTGAAGAGGCTCACGGAACCGAAAGAACCTTTTCCTAGAAACTTCTCGAAGTACAACTCTGGCCCCGCCATTGCAATAGAAAGCAATCTTTTAAGCGAAACCCTAGTTGAGAGTAGATCTGAGAATTCGCAATATATAACTTTGGTGAAGTCTCAACAAATATGTATAGATAAGCCATTTAACGTGTTTAGTCACAAGATCAGTAACAGACTGTCTTCATTCCCAACTTTTCTTTCTAGTTTTTAATAATTTACACAAAATTAAAAATGAAAATTTCCTTTTTGAGGAAGAAAAACGAAAGAAACAAAAAAAAAGAATAATACCGTTGTGGTTAATTAATTGAGCCTCGCGTTTATTCAGTAAATAAAGATATTTTTAAATCTTAACTATTATTTGAGAAGCATGTTTTATGAAAAAATCTGATGTGTTATCAACTTATCAAAAGTTAGTGTAAATTAATGATGACATGGAAATGTGATATGACAATTTTTCTAAAATAAACGAGATGTTCTCATTGTTTGAATTATAATTAAATAAATTATAATATAAATACACTAGATTATAATACTAAAAACAATAAATGTAAATTAGCAAAAACTAGTAATTACTATGATTTCAATTTTTTTTACATATATTCATAATAGATTGCATAAAATACGATTACAAAATTTTTACAACCAATATATAGTTTATATTTTTATATAAAAAGTAATAATAGATTATCCAATAAGATAGTATATATACGCTATATATTAATAATATTGGGAGTATGATATATTATTATTTGTATATAATTTTTAACATTTTTATATTATTATTTTTTGCAATTTGCGTAGCTTACATTACCATCTTATTTTATCTCTTATACTTTTTGAAATAAATTAAAAGTTTATATCATACTCATATACAGTCTCATTGTAGATCAAGAATTTGAGATCTGAAATAAAATACAATGTAATCGGATGAAAAAATAAATTATAAATAAGAAATAAAAAATACGAATAAAAAATAGAAGTAAAAATAAAAATAAATTTGTACAGTTTTGTTGTAACACTCTCAGACTTTGTTTTATGGAGTCATTTAACAATTTTTTAAAAAGAAATTTTATAATAAATGCATGTGTGATTCAAATTTTATAATGAACACATGCGTGCAGACCAAACATAAAAAAATTATTTTCTTCATCAAACCAATTCTTCAATATTAGATAAAAAGATGAGCGGAGAGCTACCAGAGAATTTTATAAAATATGAATTCATAAAATTTATTACATATATTTATTATAAATTTTATTTGATATAAATAAACATATGAATAAGAAGTAGAAGTAAAAGTAAAAGTAAAAAATAAATCTTTATAACTTTGATTTTCTATAAAAATCTAACGATGGTTTTCTGTAAAAATCTCAGGCTATGCCTCTGGTTTAAAGCATCTTTAACCCACATTTTGTTATAAATCTTCTAATTTAGTGAAAAAAATATATTTTTTCTTCTATAATTGGACGAAAAAATAATAATTTTTCTTTTTTTATTTAAAATAGAAATAGGTTGGATAGAAATCCACCTATATTTTAGAAAAAAAAAATATAAAAAGATATTGAAGATGATCTTAATGTTTAATATATTATTCAAGGTTAAGAAAAAAATGAGTCAAAGAAAACAAAAAAAAAGAATAATTTTGATTGAATTTATGTTTTAATTTTGAAATATTTTAAAATATAATTTTATACATATTAATTCTTTCATGTATATATTTTTTTCAACATCTAAAACATTATTTCATGATCAAGTTTTGTAGTCCCTCTATTCCAAATTATAAGTTGTTTGCCTTAAAACACAAAGATTAAGAAAAGAACTTTTCTTCAAAAAAGTAATCATTAAGTATACAATTTAAATATAATTTAACTAATTATAAATAAAAACTACAAAATATAATTGATCACACAATATTCAATAAAGTAAAAATAGAATAAAAAATGAAAACAACTTATATTATGAAACAAAACAAAATCTCTAAAACAACTAATAATATGAAACAAATGGAGTATAAGTTATGATCCATTATATATAAGATTAACACACATATCAAAGTTAAGAACACAAGAACTCTTATTTTTCAATATAATAATTAAATATTAAACGCTGCGGTTGCAGAGAGTTTTTGGAAGCGAGCGATTGCAGGCTATAAAAGATTTGATGAAGAGATGAGCGGAGAGCTACCAGAAAATTTTATAAAACAAGAATTCACAAATTTTAAAATAAATTTTTATTCAAAAACCATATATCATAAAAAGCTGAAATATAATAAATTTTGATTAAATACAAAACGATAGAAACGGTTTTCGTGATTGTTGTTAAACGCCAAAAACTGTATCATGTAAAATCATAACGTTTGCGGAAAATATCTGAAAAACTTACCAACACCAAAATATTATAATTCACTTATTTATAATTCATACTTACATGCATAAATATACATATTTTTTATAAAAAAATCAATCATACATTATAAAAATATATATTACAAAATATATATTTAGTTATTTTTTTAACGCATAAAAGTCGTACTTTGATTTTTTTACAAATATGCGTGTAGATATAAATATTAATTATGTAAAAATTAAAGTTGTCTTGCAAACTTATCGTGCATACATTTTCTTAATACAATTCAATTTTAATTTAGTTATTTGTCAATTTGTATTTATTAAAAAAATATCTATATGTTCTTAAGAATGGTGAGATGGTTTGTACGTACGAATGCATAAGAAATTAATCGATACATAAATATTATAAGTAATTGTGTTTATAAAAATTATATTTGCATATGTGTGCGGACCAATCATAAAAATTAAAGAAATTATTATATATTTTAATATTTTCAGTTTACTTAGTTATCATATTTACACTTTTTATCTAATAAAGTATTTTAAAAATTCAGGTTAATGTTTTTTTATATTCAATTTCTACTGAAATTTATAACATTTTTCATTTGATTCATTATTATTTATTATCATTAAATATTATTATTAATACATAATTAATCATATACATATAAAATATCTTCAATATATAATATTAATTATATATTTAACATATAAAATATTTTATAGCCCGCATACGGTAATATCGGCTGATCACCTAATTTGTTTTAAATGATAAAAAAGTTTCATAATAGACCATAATGCCGATCACGTTGGCAGGGCTCGGCTCTGGCTACAACAGAGAGAATGGATATCGATGTGACGTCAGAGTGGGAGCATGAATATTCTACTACATTTAGTGACCATCAATGTAATTCGCTTCACTAGACAATTTTGAGTGGGAGCATGGATATTCTACTAGATTCGGTTTGTATTATGTCGAGTTGTAAGTTTTGGGGCACGTGCCCCATACTATCTTACGTAAATTATCTGTGAAGCGAATTACATTTATGGAATTTAGGTCATATAGTTTGCAAAACTTCAATTTTTCTTCCCACCTTAGTTATACACTCTTCAAGTGCCTCTTCTGTATTTTTATTTTCTTTCTAAGCATTTAATTTTATCTGTTTATCACCTTTCCTGATACAATACTCGAAATGTGGTTCAAGTAAAGTATCTTTGAAATCGTCATTTAGAGCTTAAGTTGATGGATAAGTGGTTTGAATGATGGGAAACCAGTTGTACTTGAACTCCAAGCACAAAAGTTTAGACTTTACTAACTCAAGGATTAATCCTCACAAGAGTTAATAAATTCTACACAATTCTTCAAGCTTTGATTCTACGAAATACAAGAAGAAAAACAGGAACATAATTTGATTCAAAAGATAACTTTCTTTGAAAAAAATTAAACTTTATTTGATTTATAAAAATGATTGGTAATTTCGAATCTACAATGCTTTGAGCTTATATAGTGCTCCAAATGAAGATATAAAATGGTAACAAAAATTAAAAATAAAGCATAAAATCTGGTGTAACAAAATGCTAATCATTTGGCTTAGGGGGGGGGGGGACTTGATTTGTGAAGGGGCTTAATTTGGGGGCTTAAAGGACGGATCTTGAGTCTTCAGAATGGTTTGAATGATCAGGATCTCCTCTTATGAATGTAAGGTCGATATTAGTTAACAATGATGGTCTTTGGTCTTCATTTCTGGTTTGATATAAGTGATGATCTCTAAATGAGGAAAGCTTCTCTTTGGTGTAATCTTCTTTGACTCCTGATGAAAGGGAACGGATGCTGACTTTATCTGGTGTGTGGTGACTCTTGTAAGCTCATGTGGACATGAGGGAAGGCGAATATACTGTTTTGGTAAGACATATATTCAAAGTTTTTTTGCTTGGCTCCAATAATGCTCCATTTACATGATTTGATGGTTTGAGAGGATTTGGTGGTTCTTCTTTGGTTTGGCTCCGGTTATTGGCTTGTAGACCTTCATTAAGCATCTTAGGACGGTTGAATATAATGCTGACTTCATGTAGATCCGAAATTTCCATAATTGGCTTCATAAATTGATGATTAGGTCCATATATGTGGTTTGGAGGCTTTGGCGGTTTAAATTGGTCTTCTTGCATTTTAATTTGAACCAGGGGTGTCTTGGAAGGGGGACGGATCTTGAGTCTTCAGAATGGTTTGAATGATCAGGATCTCCTCTTATGAATGTAAGGTCGATATTAGTTAACAATGATGGTCTTTGGTCTTCATTTCTGGTTTGATATAAGTGATGATCTCTAAATGAGGAAAGCTTCTCTTTGGTGTAATCTTCTTTGACTCCTGATGAAAGGGAACGGATGCTGACTTTATCTGGTGTGTGGTGACTCTTGTAAGCTCCTGTGGACATGAGGGAAGGCGAATATACTGTTTTGGTAAGACATATATTCAAAGTTTTTTTGTTTGGCTCCAATAATGCTCCATTTACATGATTTGATGGTTTGAGAGGATTTGGTGGTTCTTCTTTGGTTTGGCTCCGGTTATTGGCTTGTAGACCTTCATTAAGCATCTTAGGACGGTTGAATATAATGCTGACTTCATGTAGATCCGAAATTTCCATAATTGGCTTCATAAATTGATGATTAGGTCCAAATATGTGGTTTGGA